GGCAAGCATTTATTTGTTCGAGATTGGCTGAAATAAAAACCCATTAATCTTGCCTAACGACTGCAGCGAATCAATTATTCCCAAAAGAACGACGGCTGTCTGTCCTTTTTCCCCGGGAACTAATTCCGGGTGTCCTTGGTCCTTGGACTCTGGCTTCGGCTCATTAGAATGGCTTATCACCAGGGCCAGTGATGAATGTCGAAACTTTGGCGAAATGGTGGGGAAAATCGGGATGCTTTTATAAGAGGCACTCTTCCTCCCCCTTTTTTGCTGTCAGCGATTTTTCATTCTAACAGCTTCGCATTCATCTCTAATATCCTGGCTGCTATACATACCATACACTCTATATCCTTGTATCCTTTGCATGGGGAGTGTGAGGCTGCAACATGAAAACTCAATTTCAGCTCTCGGCTTGCCTTGCAACATCTTCCTTATTGCATTTGCATGCCGCACAGCAAGGCGAAAAGCATAAATAATTAAATAAATTAGAAGACTTTCTTGGCTTTTGCCGGCAGCTAAGAACTTTTCTGGATAATGTCTTTTGCCTGACATAATTTCAGGCGCGATTTCAAGGCATTTCCGGAGAATGGGCTTCAGGCTTTCAAGCTTTTTTGGGTTAATCGCTGGAAAGGAAACTAAGGGAACTTTTCCTTGTTTACAGAAAAGCCAAAACTGGAAAATGGATTAATAAACTACATTTAAATAGGAAATTTTATGCAGTTTTTATGCTAAAGAAGTATAAAAATATACAAAGTAATAACCAAAGATTTTAATTTTAAATCAATTTCATAAACTTCCTACTTTATTTTTCTAATTTAAGTTAAATATTCTCAGTGCAATATAGAGCTCTTCCTTATTTTCTAAGGAAAATATTTCCGTATTTATTCACCTGAAAAAATATTCACTATTCCAAGAGACCTACATATTATGCACCCTTAAGTCCAACTTTTATTTACGTGACTTTCAATTGAAAATAAGGACTAGAAAAGGCGGCCAAAGATGTCGGATTGCAAACGAGAAGGTGGATTTCTGCCAGAAGGACGAAGGACCCTTTCCTTGGCACTCATTTCATTTGTTCAAGAATGGATTCCTTCAAGGCGAACAGGAAGATGATGATGGCACCCCCTGCCCCCCCCCCCCACCAACAGCAATGGCGATTGTGGGCGTGACCAGCCCATAAATTCCACGTGAGCGTATGGTGCAGTGGGTTGGAATGGCAGCCGGCATCGTAAATGCAGGATTCTGAAAGGGGTGTTATGGAGTCCTTTAGCCGGGCTTCCGCGGAATGCCGCGCCATATGCATTAAAGATTTTTATTGTTAGATTCCCGCTGAATTATATGTACCCCAAATACATCGAGAAAATAAACATACATTCGTGTATCTCCAGCATATTTCTTTATGGGATTTTTCGGTTTTTGCATAAATCAGAGCGTGAAGAAAAAGAGACGAGCGATGGCAGTTTATATAAAGAGGGGGTTAAGCTCCTTAAGCGCTTAATAGGGCATGAAATCGAAGGGAGAGGCTCCAAGAGGAGAGCAGCCTCAAGTTCTTAAAAGAGAATACAGTGAAAATGGGTAAATATTTATGGTTTAATTTGCCAAGTCTTTGCGGGAACCCCAGATTATTTATGGGATGGGTTTGTAAGGAAAGGGAAACTACTTTTTTGAATAAAATGCTAAAATGTTGACAACATCTCTCAGCTATGGCTTTCTCTGCTTTAACTTTATTTTCAATTAAATCAGATAAAGATTTCCCCACGATTCTAGAAAGAAAACGCACAACATGTTGTCTCGTTTTCCCCGGTAACCGCAGAAAATCTCCCACTCTCATCACTCACAATTAAACAGGCTTCAGTTGCAGCATTTTCCGGCTGTCGGCGCTGCACAATATTGCAAATAAAGTAAGGCAAAGTCCGGCTGCTGCAGCGACGACAACAAAAAACCACCGAAGGCATTGCAACTTAATTTAAAATTTATGGTCCCATCGCCAGCAAGAAAGGCGGAACTCGGCTCAGAACAGAACATCCCCCAAACTACATACAACATGTACATATAGTATATATAACAAAAACGTCAAGCGAGCTGCAGCAAACTGGAAAATGTTGTAAGCACACACTTGCTTGTAATTATAATTATGCCTCCCCTCAAAGTGACCCACAAAACCGACTTAAGATGGATCCGTGTCGGTAATCTGACCCACTAAACCCACTCAGATTTAATAGGGCTGCTGCTGTGTGTGAGTCAGTCAGTCTCTGGGCAAATATTAATTAACCAGCCGGCTAGAAAAAGTCAATACGAGTGTCCTTCTGCCCGCCAAAGTAGGCAACACACTTTCGCCGGCCAACGCTGCGTATGATTTATGCAGCCGAAGCTGTTGCATATGCATGAGCAGCGGAATAAAAAATTGCATCCAGCGGTGAGAACGAAATAGCGCCGCATAACAATGCAAAAATTGTGAAAAAGCAAACGAACAGTAAATTGAAATGCCAACGAGAGGTAAAAGGGAAAATCGACTGGACAACAGCGAATGCTCTCGAGGATTTGCAATATGGGAGACCAGGTTACACACCCCCCATCTAGGGTATGCGAGCAACAGTCATTGGAAGAATGCCAAAACGAAGTGGGTGAAAGGGTGTGGGAAGATGTACCTGGACAATGACAACGCTGATAAGTAGCTGGCGACATGGCAGACGAGTTCATTTATCAAAATTTATGACTCTGCAACTACGGTTGCCATTTCGGCAGCCATTGCAGGTGCTTGTCCCAGCTTTTGCCAAACTAAATTGATAACTTTTTCCTCACATTTTATTGGCGGCGGCTTCCAACAGAAGCCTTGGACTTTTCCCCACCGGAGGTCAGCAATTGAATAGAGTCAGAGCTGCCGCCAGAGATCGGATTGTCACCGACAGGCAGAAGAACCAAAATGCCCAAAAATGGCAGCAGCCAAGGGCTAAGGTCAAGCTCATTACAGCTGACTCAAGAGAAGGGCTATATATAGTAGGTATATATAGGGATGTATAGTATAGTTACAGATGGGCAGCCAAAGGCTGCTGTCAGTCGTAGTTGATTGCAAGTAGGATTTAATCTCAATGGGGGATGAATTTCCCCAAGTGGCTGCCAGCCAAATGCAAGAGGACTTAAGGTTCGGATGGAATAAGTGCCATCATAAGCCCTTAAATCCCTTAAATGTAAACAGGAAACTGGAAAAGGCTTAAAGTTACTGTCACAAAAAACAGTTTACTGAAGTTTACTTTTCCGATTTTATACATAAAAGTTATCATTCAAATTGTATTGTATTAAAATTGAAATCTATGAAAAGTAAGCTTACGATTTGAAGCTAAATTTAAAGTTAAGAAGCTTTTGAGTCGGATTTAGTAACATTTCTTCTCCAAGTTTCTATTTTACTATTTTTTTGTAGCAAATTTATGTTCCAATAACTGAAATAATTTAAAGATAAAAAAGTTTAAGAGCAATTTAAGACCTAAGTTTCAATAAAACTAAGAAACTCAAAGAAGAAAATATCGATACTCCTATTCTATATTTTTATACACTTCCAAAAAATGTTGCCCATATTTTCAAATATTTATAAAATATTTTAAAACTGTTAAAAATTCTTGAAAAAAGTTTTTTTTTTCTTGAACTAACTTTATGCAAATTTATGCATTTTTGGCTTAGTTATGATCAATTCGACCTCCTGATCCAAACTTCTGCTACTTGAAAGTACCTTTATTTCCAAATTTTGTAATAAAAATTCTTTACACTACCTTCCCACAGACTTTAATAACCTCATTTCCCTAAAACTTTAACAATAAAATGTAGTTTTTCTATAACTTTCAACAAATTCCTTCCCCCATTTTCAATGCAATCACTTTCGGTTGCATACAAATCCAATTCTGCGATCTATAATAGAAAATCTTAAGCTCGCCGGGGGCTTGCTTTTGTATCGCGCGCTGTTTGCAATCAGCGCTGACAAATTGCCAATCGATTTTGATGCGGCGTCGGCCTCTGTCACTCAACCCCCCTTTACGATCCCCCTTCCCCCAAGCTATAGCTCTTCTTTAAAATCGAAAAAATTTCTGTTTGCGTTTTGATGATTGCCGAAGACAATGAAATGACAATCAAAGTCACGTGCCGCCCCGGCAGAGGCAGCTGCAAAAACGTTGCATGCAAATTTGTGCGAATAGAAAACGCGAAGGGGAAAAAAATCGAAGGGAAAATTGGGAGGGAAAAACCGTAGGGTAAGGCACAAGCCAAGGTGAAAATAAGTATCATACGAGTATGATTCGTTTTGATTGCCAGGGACAAATGCTTCGATTGTCTAGCCCTTGTTTCGGAATCAAAAAAAAAAAAAAATCTGAAATTCGAACAAAAAACCTTCTTTAGAAAGAACAACCACGGCAGCTGTCTGCCAACGTCGTGTCTCCACACGCTCATTAGCCCATTAATGCCAAAAAATGCTTACACAATGCACATAAAGAGACTTCAGGTGTTTTTCTTGTGATTTTCCTATTAAAATTAACCCTCCAACAGCTGAAATTTAAGATGGAAAATTAATCTTTAAGGGAAGTAACTTCATCTCTCTTAAATGAGATATTTAAAATAATTTTCTGATTTTATTTGGAATTAACTTTTATTCATTTGTAAAATATAATTCTTAAAGTTAATATTTTTCACCCAATTTCTATTTATTTTTTAAATTAAATATCTTTAAAATATTAAAATTTACAACAAATCAAAGAGCAAACCAACCTTAAGTAAATTCCCAACTTCCCGTCATAAAAACCCAATTTTATTTACCTTTCCAAGCCAAAAACTTAATAATTAATGTCAAGATTCAACACCCCAAGTTCAAGTTTTTGAAATCACCAGAGACCTCCAAGGGTCCAGAAAACATTTTACTTCTGTTCAAACAACTCAATAATTGAAAGGTTAAATATTTTACATCAACTTTCTACCATTGGGCTGTTGGAGGGTTAACAATCAGATGACCCTGTACCCACCTTTGCTTCCGGGTCCGTTGGCCGTTTGCAGCGAGGACATCGGTATGGCCAGGCAGTTGCGCGGCGGTGGCGGCACGGCGAGAGCCAGATCCTGTGGCGGCTCGGAGCGCGGACACGGCGTATACGCAATCTTGCTGCCACGTCCGGGCGTTGGACTAACGCGAGCATGTCGTCCACCGGTCACCGGTCCAGCGCTGCCACCGCGTTCGCTCATCTTCGTCTGTGGGTCGCCTTACAGAAGGATTAAATGCATTTTGCAGGGGGATTTCCTGCATCCGCAGCCTTGGATAATACCACTGGAGGTTTTTTTCCTGGCTCAAGCCATTGCGTCTTCCGGCTATATATATATATATGTGATTGTACACTTCAATATATATTATATCGCAGGCACTTTATGCTAATGCTAATGCACAGATTGCACTGGCTTTTATCCTCCTGCCCACCTGAGGGGGTATCGCATTCAATTGGCTTTCTAGGTGGGCTGCATGGGTTTAAGGGGTGACCGTGAGCAAGGCTAAGGATGCGGCAAGGACACGGGACACACGACGACGACAATGGCAACGAATCGAAACTTTACCAAGTCCACTAACTTTACTTTCGCATGGCAGCAGTGCAACTGCAACAACACACGAGCATCCAAAAATCCCGTGTCGAAGGAGTGCGACCGCGCGACTTGCACTGCTCGATATCCTGCTGGCGACTGACGACGACGACTGGCGGAAAAGTGGCGAGCAGCCGGGGAAAAGCGACAGCTTCTCGTGCGGGCAAGCATAAAAATAACACGATGCCGAAAACTGGCAGCAGCAGCAGCAGCAGCCACAACGACAACGACAAAGGCCGAAGCGCAGCGAAATCAAAACAAACAAAATACAACGCGGCATATGGCAGACCTCGTGCTCCGGTTCCTTTCTTTTCCCCCCCAAAAGCCAACCCTTTGGCCCGCAAAAGTTTTTCTCTCAGTGCGAGCATCTTCTTCCTTTTGTCGTCAGGCTGTGCTGGTTGCATTGAGCGAGCTTTTGCGCTTCCTGTCAGCGTAAAGTTTGCCACTTTTGAGCTTTATTCATTCACAAAAATTTGGTGAAGAAGTTGCCAGATGGGTGGGAAATAATTACCAGGGCTCACAAGGCGTATGAGTGATTTCTTAATTTCGTTATTTATCAGTTTTCTTTGGGGTTTAATTTAAAAATAAGTATTTAAATTTAATATTAAATAAACTTTCTAGTGTGAGCCACTTATAGCTCAGTTTTCTGAAAGTTAATATTAAAATATGAATTAAAATGATATTTGTATATTTTATTTAAATTAGTCTAATAATATTTCCTAAAAATATTTTTCATAGTTACTGTTTAAAAACGTTTTGAAACTTCATTAGAAAGTGAAAAGAAGTAAATACGATGTTTAACGGGGCGGATGAGTGATATTTGTTTTTATTTTTTACAATTTACAGCGATCTTTAGGTTATTTTCACTAAGGCCAATATAATTTTTAGTATATATATTTTTTATAGTTTATTTAAAGCAAAAATCTATAAATTTAGTTCAAACTAAAGACAGGAAACATTATGTCCAATAGGGCGCATGAGTGATATTTAGTGTATTGATTAAAAATATAACTTTATTCGTTTTAGGTATAATCCAAATAGGTTTAAATTTTAAATTTGTGTACTTACCCATTTCTGCGAACAATAAGTAATAAAAACTTTAATAAAATATTTACAAAACCTTGTGAAAATCTTTTTTAAAACCATGTAAATTATCATATCCTCTTTTTTCTACATTTTACTCCCAAAGGTTATGATTTAAGGATACTAAATAAAAGCTTTAGCTTAGTAAATATATAAAAGAAAAAGGATTTAACTCCAAACAAAAGCTCCTTTGACCCACTATAGAATATAGGTCACTAAAACAAATATTTAAAACATAAGAAATATATTTATCTTCAAGATTAATTCACCCCCATAAAAACCAAAAACACCATTTAAATTGTATATTCTGGTTTTGTCTTTATTGAGTTTTTGTTTTGGTTTTGCCTGTTAAGTAGAATAGAATTATTAAAATGGTTTTATATTCGCTTCGCTGGCGACTGGTTTTTGCTTTCCGATTGCACAGATTCGAGTGTTAGTTAATGGTATTAGTTTTGCATTTGATTTGAATCGTGGCTTCAGTTAACTCTGATTGCGGGTAGCTGCCCTAATACTTTTTTTTCACCTTTCTCACCGGTTAGAGAGAGGGGTTAGAGTTCTCTCTATTTAATCATGTCTCCAGTTTGGTTGGTTGGTATAAACAGTTTTCAGTAATCATACACATATATTCGATCAGTTTTTAATTACAATTTAGAGCTTAGAAGTTACAGTTTCCATATATATATATATAATAAGATTCAGTTGTTGTTGTCCTATGGGGTGAAATTTTGTTCGTTTTTGATTAGGTGACTCGACGACGGTCTGGTAGGTAAAGCTTTTTGGATATTTCATATTTCGTTATCTCGATATATATGTATAATGTTTAACATTTTCTTTGCTCGCTTAAAATTAAAACATTTTGGTATATCCTTGAAATCTGAATCGATGTCTCAGAGAGCGCTGTAGCTGCTTTATTAGTTTTTATTTATTTTTTTTTAATTCAATCCAATTTTTTGTTGCTAGCTGTCCTCAGATAACAACAAAAGTGTTGGCAAAAAACTTGGAAATTGTGTTCAGTGTAAGAGGTGTGTATTTGTGAGGTGTGTGTGTGTGAGACAAAATAAATTATTAGCATACTTTTGGGCTGGCAAAGGTAAAATTAATTAAATTTAGAAAGTTTCTAAAATAAATGTTTCCAAAATATATACAAAAAGTCACCAAGAGAAAAAATTGGTTTAAGAAATAAAATTTAAAAGAAAAGCCCTGCCAGCTTTCTTTATCACTTAACTTTATACATGTATATATTTATGTTCTAAGTGCTGTTATTGTTGCTAGTTAATACGTGTAATATCCATACATTATCCTTCTACACCATCCTCTAGCAATTCGCGTTCGTTCAAGGCCTACATTTGCTTTTTAAGAGACTTTTATAGAGACTTTTCCTCTAAACTAACACCCATTTATATATTTATTTCAAACCGAGGAAGGTTTACTTTCTAGACATTCAGTGCAGTGTTCCGATTCGAATTTCGAGAAGAGTGAGTTGTGCAGGAACGGGCCTTCTACTTGCCTGGCTTATATAGGTACACATGGTTATGGTAGTAGTACATTTGGACATCAAGAATAACTTGCCTATTTCGATATACATATATACTATATAATTTCGCATTCGGTATGGATGAAATCGCTTAGTAGGTGGTTTTATTTTTAGTGCATACATTCAATGTATAACTCGTTAAATTCTTATGGGGGCATAACTCCAGTTCCGGTTGCAGGTTGCTCCACTCCAGGATCCTTCACAGTCCTTCCTTGAAATAGGCTGAAGCTATATATGTATACTTAATTTAATCAACTTGACTTTGGAGCTCTGCTTTAGCAAGGTATCGTAGCATATCCTTGGGGGCCAATTGGTAACGGGTTGGATGAGAGATCAGTGTGAGATGCTTGTGAGCCAATAATTACCAGCCAGGAATATAGTATCAAGTCCGGTAGAAAAAAGAAAACGCAAATTTTGGTTTGTTTTGTTTCGAGGTTTTTAAAATGTTTGTGTATTTTTTTTTTCAAATAAATTTCGGTTTGTTCTTGTCTCATTCGCTTGCTTTCTTGCTTGCTTGATGCTTATAGTTTTTCTTCGACTGTGGTTGCAATTTTTACAATATTCGTAAATATATAACTTTTGTATATAGCTTTATTTATATATATTTTTTGTATAGATATAGGCGCGAGTTCTTTTGCTTGGTTTGTTGCTTTTGCCCCTCGAAATATTGTAATTTTTGCCCAAACACTTTTAGCATATTTTAACAAGTTTTCTGTGTCTGTGTGTTGTTGTTGTTGTTGACTCTGGCCATGCAAACGAAGATAAATATTTATGCAAGTTTTGATTTGGAAATTGAGAAACTCAGAACTCATCCGGCCGCCTCCAATGCCACAACTGACGCACTTCAACAACTTCAGATTTGAATTGGAAATGCATCACATCGCGTCCTGACATCGACTCTCGCGAAAATTGCAGAAAAAGTTTACATTTTCAGTTAGTTTTGCGTTCTTACTTTCTTTGTTTAGAGTTTTAGTTTTGAAAAATTCGTCAGTGTCATTTGATTAGAGTTAAATTTTTGCCTGCAATTTGCTTTTTTTTTCAATAAAGGGTTTTCCTTCTCATTTCTTTAAAACATTGCACAAATTTCGCTACAAAATGTTACCTTCTTTTTATATTTTTGTTTGTTAAAAAAAGTTATAGAAAAGTGTTTTTGTTTTTTTTTATGATTTTTGTTTTTTTTTTTATATGTTTTGTTTTTTGAATTATCATTAGCGCAAATGGTGTTTTGTTCAAATTTTGTCGTTGCCCTTCAGAGCGTTCTTCTGTCCCAAAGTCAAGCACAAACAAAATGGATTATAAAACCCGACTTAAACATTATAACGTAGAAAACACGCAAGATTTGTTGCCGTCACTTTGGTAAGTTATACTCACAGTTGATTTATGCAGTGGAGAAGAGTTGGAAAGATTTGGAGATGAGGCGAGGTGTGTTGTGGAGATATGGGGGTGTGGCGTGAGGTGTATGGACAGATAGACAGATAGATATAGTTGGGATAGATCGTTAGCTAGAAGACATCACGACGAGAGTTCGTTACAGCGGAGGAGATAAAGGAAACAAGGCTTTCGATATGAAATTAAATTAAAACCAAGTACGATTCGCGCAGACTTTTCTGGTTATAGTTTTTGGGGTTAGACAGAACAGATAGTAGCTATAGTATATAGTAGAGTGGCGGTTGTGGTTGTAGGTAAGTTAGGAGGTTAGAGGCTGAAGCTTGCGGTTGTTGCGGTGCCAGGGGATTGCGATTCTTTCTCTAACTTCAACTTAAACCATTATGTTCGTATATTTACTTAATCGCTTTCGCTTGCTTATGCTTTTGCTTTGGTTTACATCGCCGCGTTTTTGCTTAAATTTAAGACAATTGTCTTTGCATTTTGCTAGTTTAATTCATATGTATAATTTATTTATAAATATATATGTTTATATACATATATATATGTGTTAATATATATATATATATAACTGTTCCGATGCTGCGCTTCTTCGTCTACATCGTCTTCTGCTGTTGGATTGTTGTCAAGAGAGTTGTCTTCTTCTCGTTTGGCAGGAGCATCCGGCGCTGTTGATCGATGCTCCCCTTAATCGTTATCGTTATCGTTATCCTCCATACTACTTCTTCGTCCTTCCTTCCTTTTTCTTTTATATGTGTGTGTTTGATGAAATCGTCTCCTCCTTCCTTCTTCTTCGTCCAGCTCTTCTTGCCGCTTCTTCGCTTCCTCGCATATAAATATTTAATTTTATATTTCTTTATAATAAAATTATATTACTTTAGACTTTTGGTTTTATTTTCGCATTAAGTACATTATGTATTTATACGTATATATATATATATATAGAGTTCCTTTCATATTTATATTTGTAATAGTAATATTCGGTTGCTTTGCTTTGCAGCTCGCTTAAGTACTAGAGAAATGTGTTTGCTGTTGTGTTCTTTGTGGCGTTTTTGCATTGTTAAATGTTAAATCTGCTCAAATATATATATATATTCATATTCATATTCATATCGCCGCTTGTGGTTGCTGTAGTTGTAGTTGGTGTAGAGTTGCTTGCTTGCTTAAGTTCGCTACAAATCGTGCCGACAAATCGGCTGCCTATCAAGGACCTTTTGGACTGCGGTCCTGCTGGTCCTCGTTACAGCCCCCAAAAATATGCTATGCTTCTCCTCTGCTGCGCGCCACATTTTTTGGTTTTTTTTTTACGTTTTAATTTAATTTTATATCGAAAATGTATTTGTAGTTGGTTTCTTTTTGTTTTTTTTTGTAATTTTTATTTGTTTTATTTGTTTTTTCTTTATATTTATTAATTTTAAATTTAAATATAATTTAATAAGAAGAATTTGTTGTTGTTTGATTTTACATTATTTATAATATATATATGTTGTATTTATAATATATTTTACTTCTTGTTTTTTCTGACATGTCTGTGTGTGTGAGTGTATGTGTGTGGAAGAGGGTGTGGTGTGTGTGTGTTTTGTGGAGGTGTATGAGTGTGTGTGTGGAGAGTGTCTATATAAACTTTGCCAGTTTGCAAAAATTTCAAATATTTGTTTCTTTAACAGTTTTTGTTTTATTTTGTATTTTTATTTGTTGTTTTGTTTTTTAGCTTTTTTATTTTTATTCTTTCTCGCAACGAAATCGACAAATTTGTTCTTTAAACACAATTTTACTAGCTTACAGATTCGGGTTTTTCATTCGCTTTCATCTTAAAATGTGGAAAAACCGACGAAACAAAATGCTGCTGCAGCCGCTTCCGTCAGTCGCCGTCGCCAGGTGGCGTTGCCCATAGTGCGGTGCCGCCATCTAGTGGCAAATACTTGATGCTACTGCCGCTGCTACTGCTGCTGCTGCACTTTTGCTCCTCTTCCTCTTCTGCTTGCAATTCTTCTCCATTGGATTTATGTTCAAGTGTTGTGGTAAACTTGCTGTTGTTGTTATTCAACTGATAACATGCGATTCTTGTTGTTGTGGTTGTTGCTGCTGGTTGTTGTTGTAGTTTTAAACGGTGACTTCATTAAGTATGCTGTTGTTGTTGTATTTTGTTGCATTAAAATTATGTTTTTTTGTTTTCGTTTAACCTTGCTGTCTCTCTCAGTTTTTAATGTAATTCTTTTTTGTTTTCTTTCTGAATTCTGTGTTTTCTTCTCTTTTTTTTTGTTACATCTTTTGCTTGTTTAATTTTTCATTTGCTTTTGCGTTTTTTTAAGTGTAAGTTTCATTGGTTTTAAAGTTTCTTAAATGTTTTTTGCTTCTTATTCTTCATTATGTTGGTTGTTTTTTGCTTAACTCTTTGTTGTTGTTTTGTTTGTTGTTTGTTTTTTTTAAGATCTTTTACTGGGGTCCATAGCAACAGCGTGGCGCGATGTTATTGCGCACAGCTACAGTCTTCGTCAACATCTTAAAAAAATAGAAAGGCTTAAAAAGAAATAATTTAACGCTTCACTTCGATGTCATCATAGTCACGAATTCTGCAAGAGAAAGAGAAGAGAAATTTTAATTAGTTTTTGATCATTTAAGGTTGCATTTCACAGTTATGATTATAACGATATTTATCGATAAATTGGCATAGTCTGTCTTTACTAAAAATTGCTAAAAAGTTGTAGATACCTAAACATACTCAAATCAAATATATTTTAACGTATTTCCCATCAATTTTTCGATCGCAATCTATAAGTTTCCTTATCGAATTTCTATTCCGATTAATTATCAAACAATTTATCGAATTTTTAATCCTATTTTCATCCTCTAAACTCATTTATTGCTTTCATTATCGCCACACAACACACTCGCCACCACTTAGGCGCATAACAAAGTCACTGAGCTGACACTACAAAAAAAAAAAAGTTCACACAATAAATCAAGTATCGAAAATAGCTGAGCGCTGTCATTAACCTTCTACTAAATTAAGACGGCAATTAATCAATACGAGCAAACGAGCATTACACCATGGGTGCTGCATCAACAGCAACAAAGGCACCTAATCAATAAGACAAACGAGCAAGTCACGAGATGTCTGATGAAAACACTTGGCCGCAAACACACACTCGATATACAGCAGCGGTTAGGTTAATAGGATTTTTATAATTTATTTAAAACTTAATACAAATTTGTATCACTTGTTTTTTATCCTCAAGTAAAGGTATTTTGAATGAGTTATTTTTTAAAAACAAACTTTAAAAAGTAAAGATTACTAACATTATTCTGCAGCTTTTTAGAAACAAAACAAATTATATTAGAGCATTATTCTATTGACCTCCAATGTGCTTATGCAGACTCTATATGCTAGCCTCTCTTCACAAGGCAAATTTATTGAGTGCAAAGACTCAGACAGTCAATCGCCAGAGATTATATACTCTCTTCTTTTCCTCATCCAAAAATAGAAAGCAGAGGATGCTGCGACGGAAGCAGAATGCAATAAAGACGCTGTCTCTGCCGCATTGTTCGCGAATTGATGGATACAAAAAAAAAGGAAAAAATAGGAGAAAAAATAAGGAAAATTCTGCATCATCGACTCAATCAATAGACAACTACAATGGAGGAGGGTAAGAAACCACCGCCAGAAGAACGGAGAGTGGCAGTTGCAGTGTTGGTGTCCCCAATTTATCAGGTGTTTGCCCGTTTTCTATTTTTAAAAGGAGGAAAATTCTCAGCCTTTGGTGTGTGCTGCATCTGTTCTCGTTGATTGCACGTCTTCCTCTTGATGGTCTTGTTTTGATTTTTCCTTTTTTTTTTGCCTAGAGTGACTGCATTTTTGAAATATTTAAACAAAAAAGACAAGAGAAGGATAGGAAAAGAAGAGCCAGAGGCAGAAAGAGAACAAGCTAATTGAGTGGGCGTGTAATTGGGTGGATTTTCTTTGGGGGGCCAATGGTCAAGACAAGGAATCCTCAAGACAGCTAAAATCTAAAATATCCTTATGTAAACTAATCAAAAATACAGCAATTAAGCTTTAACATTATGTAGATAACCAATTTTAAGTGCATTTACTAGTTGCCCCAGTTACTGTCTACAATCTAATCTCTTCTTCATATGGCAACAATTTCTATGTCTAGCCTAGGAAAGCCTCTTATCAAACGCTTCTCATGCAATCGATGGCCATCAAGCTTTATTTTTGGGGAAATTTACCCCGACATTTATAAGATTGTTATTCCAGGTTAGCAATCAAACACACCTTTTTCTAATAAAGCGAAAACCTTTTTCTGGCTGGCCCTTGTAAAGGGGCTTAAAAATAAAATGTTATTAGCCAAAGTTCAGGCAACGCCCGGAAAAGGGCTAAGCCGACGAGTATGCAAAATACCCTTGACATTTGGCCACATGCAAATAATGCTCCTCGACTTTCGCTCTTTTGATTACATCTCTCGAACCTAAAACATCACAAAAAAAAAGAACACCAACACACCTTAAGGCCACGCCCATTAGCTGACCAGTTGGATTGCACTAAGAGAAAATACATATTCTTATTTAAAGCTGAGAAATATCAAAATTACAGAGAATTAAAAAAATATACATTTTTTATATCAAAATTTTAGGAAATTATTTTAATCAACCAAAATTTTCCATACAATAGGGAAATTTAAAATTTCCCAGAACTCTCTGGGTACTGGTTGGGTATTTTTCAAACAAAATTAGTCACCATTTTAATATTATTATTTTAAAAATGCTGATTACTTTTCTCAGAAATTTAATTTTATGATTTGGAGAGTCGCAACAATTTTAAATTTCTCTGAAAATATAACACAATTTCTTTGTAGTGTATTTAACTCGCGAAAAAAAGGTTAAGGATAATTTTTTGATGACCTGAGCTATTTTAGGGGCAATTAAAATGATATTATCAACTTTTCCAGCTGCCAAGTTATATATATTTAGCAAATTTTCATGCATTTTATTTAAACCGCACCCCAGCACCACCCACCCACTCTCCCCACCCATTACGTCCCTGCATGGCGGTGGTTTTACTGGTGGTTCTGCTGTTTATCTTTCGTCGTTTTGTTTACATTCGCCAAAACTTACTCGTTCTATCATTTCTAAGGTTCTTTATTTTCCTCACTCTCTCTATATATATATGTATTTTTGCTACCAAATTCCAAATTCAGCAACACACATCTTTCTCACTGGGATGTGTTCATTTAATTTGCCTCGCCTCTGCTCTGCGCTAATGTTTAATTTGTTGTTCTTTGTATTTTGTTTAACATTTTATTTGATTTTCGACTTGTTCTCCTCCTTTCAGCTTTCTTCCCTTAGCGCACAGCATTTTCTGTATCTCTGGCATGGGGCCAAAGTAAGTCTCATCTCATTCCCATTCCCATTCCCCAATATCTCTTTTCTCTCTGCATATTCATTGTTGTTTGCGCCATATAATTTTCACTTGCAAAATTACCCAAAAAGTGTAGGGTGGGTGGTGTTGTGGGGGCAGAGGATTCTCTTCGGACCCGGCCGGCAAGACAACAATAAAGACTTTGGTTAATTGGCAATAAGCAAAATGGCAACAATGCGCATTTTATATTTACGTTATGCTGATTCCGGCGGCGGCGAGTGAGATTCATTCGGTCAATGTTCATGCCGAATTTCCTCCCCCCGGAAAATGTGCGGGGAAATTAAAGAATATTGCACAATATTTATATATATATATATATGTATATTTAATTTTAATTGTTCTTTCCCATTCGCACTGTTGCCGTGGGCCGTGTGAGCTGTGAGCTGTGAGCTGCTGGCTGTGAGCTGTGTGCCATTTGCCCCGGCAGGTTAATCATTTAAGTGTGGAATTTACGCGCGACATTTATTTTGGCTTTTAAAAACATTTCAATTTAAGCGGCAGGAAAGTGGCGAAAGGCATTAAAAAAATGCTGATTGGGAGAAGCAGCAGCAGCAGCCACAGGAAATAAATGGCCAGAGAAATATGGCTGGCAAATATTGGTTTTTTGGAATGTTTAAAGAAAGAATTTTTGTGAATATTTTGCAATTTTCCAAAAGCCAATTTAATTGTTCATTTATTTCAATATTTTCTATAAGTAAAATATAATAATTCCAGGTAATTATATCCCTGTCTTGTTGATAACAACACTACTTCTTTAGAACTATAAAACATGCCATTGTCTTTATCTCTTAAAGGCAAAACCCTTGAACGATTTCTGTAAAATCCACCTTCCACGTAACCCTATAATTCTATTATCTGACAGTTTGAAGTGGACTTTGTCCTCTAATCTCTCTTCTATAACTTCTTATCAATGTTTGCCTGGTGCTTAAGAACAAAACATAAAATCTACTACAAAAAAAAACCCCCCCTAAGAACATCATTTACCCAAGATCATCGCCTTGCTTTCTTTTGCTTGCTTTTGTTAAGACTGTTTAAGCTTTTTCGCTATTTTTATGTATTTTGTTCATAAATTACTTGTGATTAATCTATTTGATCCGAGAAATGCTTGCAGCGGCGGCTACGGCGGGCAGCCAAAAACGATTTCTATTTGAACTTGAGGAAGGAACGTGAATATATATACACACTATATATATAATGTAGAGGGGAAAATACTGTCCGATTTTAATTGCTACTTTGCCGCCCCCCCCTCGGTTTCTTTAAGCGTGTGTGTGTTCACAACAAAAGGAAACTTTTCGGAAAGACCCAGTGGCAGTGGGAGGACATGCCATGGAAAATCTGTTAAAAACTATACCATATTCAAATCTGTTCCATTTTCTGTTTTATTACCATGCCCCGGACTCTCTAGAAAAATCAATTTTCAAGCAATTAAAAAATTACAAAGAACACAAAACACGAACATTTTCAAATGCACATGGCAAGAAATATATTTCCCACTCTCTACATATATAGTACACAGTCTATATAGCAATAGGTATTACTATAATGAGTCAGTCAGTCAGAGAGCTATAGCAGACGTGGCGTAGAGAGATCATGTGAATTAGCAAAGCCATATTATGGCACAGACAAGTGCCAATTGTGACTCAAATGGCGATGCCATGATTCAATCGTTGTTTCAGTTACCTGGCAGGTGTAAATACACAACCCACAAACAGATCCAATTAGTGGGCCAACATGCGACCCACAAAACACTTGAATATGGGGTCATAACATAGCGGAAATAACGAAAGCGGGCGACACCTTCTTACGAAAGGGAAAAACATTGGAAAAAGCCCAGATTTTACTTGTTAATTGGAAAGGTTGCAAAGGAAAGTGCAGGAAACCATGGTATTCCTTGGGAAAAGGTTTATGTTTTCAAGTTGAAAATGTGTTTATAAGGAAGGGTTCTATTTAAATTCTTGAAAAACCTTGTTCTAACTTTTCTTCCTTAAATTTCTTTCCTTCAATTTAAGTCTTCTACAATCTTTAAACATTTTCTATTTCTATTAATCGATTTCTAGGAAATTCTAGATTGAAGAATTTTGAAATAAAGCCAAATTACCTAAAAAAAAACTACATCTAAACTATAACAAAACCTGGATTATAAAACTAACCATAAAAATAAACCAAAAATCCCTATAAAACCCTGCCAATTTATCGTTTCAACATCGATATACATAACCATATAGTTCGAACTTACCTTCGTAATTGACCTGACCATCACCATCGATATCAGCCTCACGGATCATCTCATCGACCTCCTCGTCTGTGAGTTTCTCGCCCAGATTTGTCATCACGTGACGCAACTCGGCCGCCGAGATGAAGCCGTTGCCGTCCTTATCGAACACTCTGAAGGCTTCCCGGATCTCCTCTTCGCTATCGGTGTCCTTCATTTTGCGTGCCATCATTGTAAGGAATTCTGGGAAGTCAATTGTGCCGTTGCCTGTGGATAAAAAAAGAATAACAATTAATTTTGCGTTGCGTTGCACTCTTTTGTGGGTGGGATTTAGAGAGAGAGAAAAAGAGAGATAGATAGCCCCATCATCAATTTAAATTCCACCCAGGGCATTCGTTGTTATAATAAATTCAAGTCAGGGATAAAGACACCAAGCGAACGTTTCTCTTCATTATGGCAAAGTTTGCTCACCATTCCAATCCTCCCGAGCGTGTATAATGCCCGGGGGCTGTGTACACTACTTAAAGCTCCTCTCCAGCTTGACTTGACTCTGATCTGCCCTTGTGCCCCGCCAGAGAAATCCCTGGGAGCCATATAATCGAGCATATTTTCATATTTGCCTAAGCCCCAAACAAACTTTCTCCTGGGGAAAAGAGGCCATAAGCACACGTGTGTGTGTTTGAAGAGTAGCCACCCCACCACCCACCTTATGAAGCGTGGCAGATAAGTCCGCCTAATCCCGTTTCTGTTAAATCACTTGCTCCCTATATCTCCTCCAAGGATGCGGCAACGGATCCTTTATGGCAGTCTGGTTCACCCAAGTGGAATGAAAATTTGTTAAAGAATTTATACAAACATTTTTCTTTTCCCTCTTCTTACCGCCAGGAGAAATACAAATGAAGTGGTCCGCCGGACCGAAATTCTTGTTATACTAATTGAAAAAGTTTCCTTCGGCTTGACTTGGTTTAAAGTTGCAAATAGTATGCTCAACGCAAATAAAAGCAGCAACAACTTTTAGCCTTAATTGTTATTGACTGACTTTCTCAAGCCATCGACATGGCCATTCCCAGAGAAACCCTCTTTTTCAGTTAGCCAGAAGAGCCTTTTGTCCATAAAATGGTACAGCAGCAGCAGTAGTATAAAATGTTTTTCAGTTTTCTGTTTTCTTCTACCCCCAAAACCAAATGGAGCATGGAGCTCCTCTCACATTGTGGCTATCATTTCGTTTCTTGTGAATTGAATGTGTTTTTTATTACTTTTTTGGGAAATGGGTTTTTCACTCCCGAGGAGAAGGAAAAACTTTCCGCATATGATTGCCAAACAACCATTTAGATTTAATGAAAATGATAAGTTATATATCAAAAAGTTTTCTCCCGAGTATAAACGAGAGAGCACTGCCCCAGGTCAAAGAACATCTCATATCATTATGATCTGAAAAAGCATATAACCCCAGAGCGTAATGTTCAGAAAAATAAACAAACAAATCAAAATTCAGAAAAGAAAAATACGATGGTTTATAAAAAAAAAAAGAAAACAAATTAATTCAAGCTAAAATAAATAAATATTCTGGAAGCGATTCCATTTCGGCTAATTTAAGTATTATTATTATTCAATAAGGGACCACATTGAGTGCCAAAAAAATATATATTTATATATAGAAATACTTTGAAAATAGCTGAGAAGCACATCAAATAAAATATCGACGGGTGGTGGTGGGGTTCAGTCAATTCCCGATTTTGTGTTGCGATTTCGATTTTCGGCTGTTTGGTTGCTTGTTGTCTTTGCCTCCGTTTTTGTTTCTGTTTCTGTTTATGATTCTATTTAAAACATTTGACGCGATTTTCTGTTGCTTTTGGCTTTGTCGATAGGATTTCCCCAAAATACCAGGCCACACCACAGACAGCAGCGGGTAAGAATCATTGAGAAATTTGTTGCCATTTTGGTTAGACGCTCCTTAGACTTTCGACGCGCATCCCAATTATGATGTTAGCCCCCGGTTCGCCATTAGCGTCGTCGCCACGATGATGGCCAATGTCTGGCGGGGTTTTCGGTTTCCATTACGTTAGCCTCAGCTAAAACTCTTTCCCGCCGCCGTCCGCCTTTCACCGCCTTTTTCCGATTCGCAACGTTGCGCGCAAAATTTTGCAGACAATTTAAAATTTTAATAAGATTTTATTTTTCCCCCTCCCTCTCTCGCTGTGTCTTTTGTGAGACGCGCTAAATTTAGTTTGGTGGCAGTTTTCAACGCTTCTTGGATTTACAGGTGAGATTTGGTAGGTGGGATTTATGGGTTTTGAAAAAGGAGAGTTTTAAAAGAGAGTTTTATAAATATTAAAAGAATTTTCATTATATTAAGGAATATTTGAGAATTAAAGTTAAATATACAAGCCGATTTTAAAGGCTTAAAACATTTTATGTTGGTTTAATTACATCGTAGGAAACCTAAAAGTTGTTTAAGAAAGATAAATTCCTTTCTTAAATTAATTTTAAAATATTTTCTACATATAAAAAGTTCTTTAAAAAAGTATAAATTAAATATAATAAATTTATTTAGACTCTTCAACCATTTTAAAATATTTTAAGATTTAATAAAATGTATAAATAGTATTTTACTGCATTTATTTAGAGCCTTAATAATTTTCTAAATAATTTTAAAGACTTGATAAAACAAACATATATTCCTAAAGTAATTACTGTCGTTGTACATTTTTAATTTTTTACCCTCCTTTTTTATTCAGTTTTATTTATACCGCTGGACAAACCCATTTGGCCACCGCCCCTCTGCTAAAAAAAAAATCTTTTAAAAATAAGCAACTAATGCGGTCGTTTGCATGCAGTTTGGCCATCGTCATCGCCAGCGACGCGGCGCGACGCCAACAAAATGTTAAGTAATGAATGTTTAATGTTTCCGTCAGATTTCTGGCCTGCCATGGAGCTCGCGACATGTGAGTGGGTGCTGCTGCCTGCCTGGCTTTGGCCAAAGTTAGAGCAGCTCTCCTCCCGGCCAGAAAGTGCATTCCACTTGGGAATAGTAAATTAGAGAGAACATCTCTCATACTCCCCAGCCTACACCAAGTTATTTCGTATATTAAACGCTGGAAAATAAAGTTGGCAAAACATTTGGCTTTCCACTCAATGAAAAAGTTTTCCACATATGCAAATTCCAGCGAATAAAGTTGCGAAAAACGTGGGGAAAACTATTTTTAGCTCTGATAAAGAGTATAGTCCCCCCCCCCAAACCCAACCCAGCATTGCACCCCCTTTGACTGTCGAGAAAAAATGAAAAAAAGAAGTGAAAGGTGGGGGAGAGTGGGAAATTGTGCGAGAGTTTTTCCGGCGCCTGCGCTCAAAGAGTTTCCTGTGCAGGACAACGGCGAGACTTTGCAGATTTTGTCCTGGATATTTTCGACAACATGCGCACACAATTTCCACGTGCAAGCGCAACAGAGGCAGCAGCAGCAACAACAAAAACCAAGGCAAAGGAAAAGCTAGCAAAGAAAATGGAAACATAAAACTGGCAGCAGCACAGCAACAAATGCAAATTGGGCGGGGACATCTACAAAAAAAAAACGTTATGAAAGAATAATTTTGGGGGAAAGAGGGAGAAAAATAACTTTTTGCTACAGACTTGTTACGCTTTGATGGGTTTTAGCTCCCAGAAAAAAAGATAAAAACATGTCTTTGGAAAAAGATACAAAATCCACTTTTCTTATTCAGAATTTAAGGTAAAGTTTAAGGAATTTGTTGCCATATTATTCTTGTAAAATAGAGAAAATATTTAAAAAGAAAACAAAACTACGTAATCCAACAACTTAAATAAAAAATATAAAAAATCCAAAGGAAATAAAACCTCCTTTCATGTAATAAATGTCAAAATCTATGTACATTACCCCAATAAAAATTTAAGTTTAACCACTAAATTTAAAATAGCCAAAATACCCTACAAAAATAATGGCAACATATAAAAACGACACACAATTTCCTCGCAAAACTCGTGCAAATTTTTATTTGAGAGCGAAACAGTTTTCCCCCCCAATTTGCTTTCCACTTTCTTTTGTGAGAACATTTGTGGCAATCTAGTTTTTCGGCCAAAAGGTGAAACACCTCACGCTATAAAAACGGGCGACACATTTTCCATTTTCATTTTTCCCCGCAACATTTTTGGCGCGAGGCGCCTGTCGCTCGATTTCCTCTCGGCATCAAAAATAAAAATTGATCTTCCTCTATTCCCGAATATATATACATTAACCGAACGATGTTACACTAAAACAACCTTTTGTCAAGACAAAAAATAATAATAATAATATATTCTACAAATAATAGGAATAAAAACAAAAAGGAAACCATCAGAAAAAAAATAAAAAATCTGACAGCAGCCGTGCTCTGTCCAAGACAAGAGCCAAAATATTTTAGTCGTCTATTTTTAATGGCTATGACGTGTTTTTGTTGCATATTTTTAGCCAAGAAATGATTTTAATTTTTTTTTTTCACCCATTGTTTGTCGTACAAATATTGGTCTGATCTATGTCTGTCTGCGAGCGGAGAATGTTCCGCGACCGAGTGTGAGAGGGATTAGGCCCAGAACAGCAATAGATTTTGGGGTAAACAAAATTAGACACCCCGGGAACGTGAACGGGAACGGGTTAAAAGGGGTTCTCACTAGTTTGTTTATCACTGGCCCAGAACCGCGAAAGATGAGCGAGAAACCATAGCAAATCGGCCATCATTTGCACATCATATATAGTCGGAACACCTTAAACTGTGACTTTATCGCCTGGTATACTCAGTGACTTGAACTTAATTTGGTTTAGTTCATAAAATGGAACCTAAATAACCATAAAAAGATATATTTTATGACTAGAAAATGTAGGTAAGAAGAGTATGTTCAAAGGTTTAAGAACTTGTGGCCTTAGAATTAGAAAATGCAAGTAGAAAAAGGGGCTTAAGGGCTTGTTGCTATAATAGAAGTACAGCTGTGTTCACGGAAATAGCAGTGCCCAACGACCTGCACGTTTAAGATCGGAAAATCCTGTTACAAACACTATTTTCATAAATTTTTTTTTCATAAAAGCTTAGTATATTTAATTATTAACAATACCACAATCATTTAATTTAGGTAACATAAACCTTTTAGAAGATATAGCTAATAACAACAAAAAAGGTCTATATTATGCCGATCATTGAAATAGCAGTGAAAAACTAAAATTCTTCATAAATTTAAAAATATCGTATAAGAAACCTATTTCTTCTTAAATTCCAATTGACTATGATCTAATATTTTGTTAAATAGCCTTTAGAAGCTATCATAGCCTCATACCTGGGTGGCATGGAGTCCACCAAGTCTTAGCAACGCTTGAGGGGAATATGGCCTCATTCCTCCTGCACAAATTGCCAAAGCTGCATCTTAGAAGTCGGAAACTTCTTTAATAAGTAGCCCTTGATGTCCCCCATAAGTTTTCGATCGGATTTATATCCGGGGACTGTGCAGGCCATGGCATTGCATCCACTTTTTCATTAAGAATCCACTCCTTGGCTACCTTGATGGTATGATTAGGGTCACTGTACTGCTGAAATGTCCAAATTAATGGCATATTTTCCTCAGGATACGGCTGCAAGACAGTTTTTAATATTTAGACATAAACATAGTGGTCTTTGATCCCACCGATCATATATACGGGACCTACAACGTTGTATGAAAAGTATACCCAAACCATGATTTTTAGGCCACCGTGTTTTACTGTCTTCAGCGTATGGTTTGGGGGGTACTATCTATTTGGGGGTCGACGGACATATTGTCTTGTCCTATTCCACCAAATAAAACCAGTTTGGAGTCATTTGTCCAAAGGATATTACGCCATTTGAAAAGTGGCAGTTCAAGGGGCTATTGGCGAACTCCAATCTGGCCTTGATATGCCTATAACCAAGCAGTGACATTTTCCATGGACTTCGCGAATCTAAAATTTATTCAATAAGTCCCCGGCGAATGGTCCCATGACTGATTCCCATGCCAATTCCCGCTCATATATCCCTAGAGGATGCAAAAGGACGAGCTTTGCTGAAGCGAAGTACGCGTCGAGCCTGTACAATTGGGGTTTTGCGAATCGTACCCCGTTTTTTTTGGGTTCGGTTCATATGTTATGACTTATAAACTATTTTAAAAGAACAATTTGAAAGATTTAGAGACTCTTTACATGTTTTGCCCTTCTTTCTAGGCTAAATTATCTGATATCTTTCTCTCATGGAGCAGTGAGGTCCTGCGCCCACTAAAATAATTTTTTTTTGCGTTGTAAAGGTGTATTATAGTATAAACTATAATAACGACCTTAATTAAAGTCATTTTTTACAAAATTAAAAGAAATTTCGGCACTTTTTGCGAAAGAAAATTAAAAACTGCTATTTCAGTGATCGGCCAAAACGAGCTGCATATGTGAAAAAATATCAATAAAACATAAAAGTAGAGCAAATCTAACGGAATTTTTTCTCGATTCTTATCTTTATGTTCCATTTTACAAAAACAATGTGCAATAGATCAGCTTGCAAAAAGGAATATGTACAAAAAAACGTTTTGAAGTTGTTCCTCTGTCGCACTGCTATTTCCGTGAACACAGCTGTATATAGATTTCCCTATCTTTTTCACACTTTTTTTTTAAATAGGACTGACTTGATATCTATTAACAACGCCCCTTGATGATAGGAATCCCCTAAATGAATCAAAATCTTCTTTTGTACTCACCGTCGGCATCAACCTCGTTGATCATGTCCTGCAGCTCAGCCTCTGTGGGATTCTGTCCCAGGGAGCGCATGACTGTGCCCAACTCCTTTGTTGTGATGGTGCCATCGCCGTCTTTGTCGAATAGCGAGAATGCCTCTTTGAACTCGGCGATCTGTTCCTCTGTCAGCTGATCGGCCTGCAAATAATTAAAATAAGAATTCAGCATTAATTACATTTCACACAATTAAAAGTCCACATATAAATAATACCGCACCATAATGAGATCGTTTGTAAATAAACCTTTGTCTCTTAAATTGCTTAGAAAATAAATATAACAACTATTGATTACCAATTGAGCGAGTAAAAGTTTTGTGAAATACTTTTCAATGACATCTCGATGGCATTTCAAAGTCACAGCATGGAAAACTACTACCCTAAGAACACAATTTGGAATAACAAAAGGATGGGGAACAACAATTGTGTTTAATTTGAATAATTTTGCGTATATTGTTTGTCCGGCGCAATTGTATCTTCCTGCTCCGCTCTGTATCTATGCACCGGTATCTCGCCAAAAGGTGTTAAGTTTCCGCTGAATCAACAAAACAAAAAACCTGACGTCAGCAGTGGAGAATAAACAAGAAGACGACAAGGGACAAGATACTGAAGAAAGGAGGGGCCACCGCCAGGCCAGAAGAGGAGACGACGACGGCGACATCCAATACCGTTTTGATATTCTTTTCGCATTTGGTTTATTCAGTATATTGTCAGGCGGAATGATGTGTATGTGACATGGGACGTGCGAGTTGTCAGTCTGTCCCCCTGGGAGCCAGGAAACCTAGCCAAATATGATGATCTTCAGGGTCTCTGGTGTCGCTAAAAACCGGGCGTATAAAATTCACCCGTTTTGCCTGTTATTGTTTTATGGCATATAAATGTTTATTTGAACTACTCGCTTTCTGGGCGATAAGCTCAAGAAACGCGCTATATATACATGTATATATATATACTTTATAAATTTATAAAATAAGGCCTGGTTTGACTTGGCTGGCTGCATACATATATGTATATCAGAGCGATAATTGTTATTATTAATCATGAGGCAAAAATGCAAAAGCAAACTTTGCCTGCGTCAGAGGGTGACTTATATATTATATATATTTATATTTGTTCAAGCTGATAAGTGGCCACAGGCAAAAGTATATATATATAAAAGCGATGCTGTTTGTTTACTGATCATGTCATTAAATTATTATATGATTATAGCTCAGCTTAATTTAGCCTGTGGGTATATAGGGGTAATTGCTATTCAACTATGTTTTGGATTCAATAGTTCAAAAGTACTACTGATTTTCCTTAACTTTTATAAGTCACCTCCTATCTAATCATTAATTTGAAGGTTTTTTTCATATAAAATCACAAGCAAACCTAAGTCACAGACCCACCTTTATGAACAACTTCCGTTTCAGACGAAATAGCGAGAAAAGCACGTTGGTTATTACCCACCAAATCAGCAATTGGCATTGGAATTATAGCGCCCTGCTCTTGACCTTATCTAATCGCGGCATTTGGGTAAATTTAAACAGTAAATACCAGTACATTTGGTTTGGTTTGCTGCCTGCCACCTGTTTTTACCCTTTTTCGACTTCTTTTTAGCTTGGAGTTTGTTGCGTTGGCGTTCAATTGAATTTGCCAAGCTTATCTGCAGCAGATAAAGCGCTTTTCAGCAGGGGTTATGTCATTGGCAGGCGTGACTAAGTCAAATCCGAATCCGAGGCTCTCTCTTTAAATGGTGACAAATGCAAATAACAACAAAACCCCACCCACCCAGATAGATCCATTAATGGATCGTCGTTAATCGGTGGGAGGCTTTGGGCGGCGGCCTAATTGGTAATCCATTTATATGCACAATCAGACGCCCACGGCATCCCGGAGAAGCTCCAATATCAAGGCAAAACAACAAACAGTGCCTGCTGGAATTTTTCGCCATTTTTGCAAATTTCCATAGCAGAGAACAGGACTCAAGCTGAGCGTATTTATCAGGCTTATTCTTATGTATTTTTATCGCAATGACTCATGGTTTTTGTTGCCAGGGTGTTGACTTTATGTGATCCATGGATAAAAGTTGGGTTTTGCAAAGTTTATTTTTTATAAATATTAAATATAGATGGATATTTCATTTTTTACTTCCAAGAAGGCTTGCTCGAGTCATGGGTTATGATTCATAATTTATAAAGTACAGTTAATACTGGTATTGAATCTTTTCTTGGACTGAAGTACAATTTTTAACAGAAGCTCTTGTCTTAAAAACGAGTTTCAACTCAAACTTTATGTTGAAGTAGTCAAGTTTGCCGGTTTACCGTTGTTATGTCGACTTCTTTTTTTTATTTTTTATTATTTGCCGGTAGCAACCGGTTTCAGTGGGTTTAGTTTGGATTTATGAATGGCTGTTAAACATGGTTTTTGGGTACAATATCGGTGCATGCGAACTGGGATTCAAGCCGCAGAAAAAGCCACGCTAAATGAGAGCCATAAGCCGGTCATTTTTCGCTATTAATATGCCACTCACATCACCGGGTAGTAGTATTCATCATCATAAAGCCATATGATCGATGAAGTCAGCCAAAGAGCACTGACTCATTAAAATTTCATGGATAAACTCAACTTCTAGAGAAATTTTCAAGCTATTTTAAGCTTTATTAAACACAATTGTTTTCCAGGCAGAATATTTTGTAACTAATAACTTATTTTTAGGAAACCTTCTACAAATATATTTTTAAATTTTTGATGTTTTTCATAACTCAAACAAACATAATATTCTTTCTAGTTGTCCTCTACAAATATCATATTAATTTTAATTTACTTGTAATAATAAATGCCAGATCCTTTCCCTTTGGGCCAACTTAAGTTTGGCATCTGAATCAGGGCAACAAATTGGGGACGGTATAGCGATTTATTTTAATTAAAAGCTGTTGGCATTCTGCGTGAGCTGTAAAAATCGCTAATTAAATTAAGCGACGCCAGATGAGGCCGAAAAGAGGGGGCGGCGCATAAGAAGGAGGAGGGGTTCGAGGAGAAGGTAACGAAGAAGGAGGGCTTCTTATCAAAAGGCACAAAGGCAGAAAGCCAAATAGAAGTAAAACGTGCAGAGAGAAGGACGGCGAAAAAGAAGGCGACAAGAAAATTGGATTATGTGGTTAAGCGGCGTCTAGCAGGAATTTTTCTTCATTTGCTTCACCTCCTCATGGGCCCCGCCTCCCTTTTGCGCCTGTTCCGTTACAATAAAATTCTTGTGCGAAAAGGCAAAGTGGAACAGGCAGCAACACACACACACACTTGCGCACACACGGCCACGGCGAGCCGAACGAATGAACGAGCGAAGCGAACGAACAGAGACGAAGGCGAAACAGCAAAATAACCGCAATGCGGCAAATGAAACGGTTATGGAAGAAAACAACAAAAGGCAGGCGCCGATAAAAGTGCCAAGCGCGAAGCGAAAAAAAAAAAGCTGAAGTCGAAAAGAAACGGGAAGAGGCAGAGAGTGAGAAAGACGACGCAGCACAAAACGAAACTGATAACAGAATTGCAGAGAGATAGAGAGAGATGGAAACGAAATAATTGCACAAAGCAAGAGAGACGAAAAGTGTGTGAAACGGTTATGAGAGAGAAACGGTTATGCAGAGAAAACGAGAGAGACGAAATTCCGGCAATTTTTTTTTCAGCGATTCGTTTCTAACCTCAATTTTTGCGGCCAAATGTGCGGTAAATAAAAATACAATCAGAAAGCGTAAATAGAGTGAACGGCAAACGAACGAACGGCGGGGCATAGCGCAGCGGCCGAGAGCCGGCAATTTTGTGTTGTTCATCAATATTCAAACATTCAAACGCACACACATTTTCAACTGATAAGGGGAAAACTCAGAAAACAGAGAAGCTTTTTCATAATTTGCGGGAATCTCATAAATGTTTAACAAATTTGCCAAAAACTCATTTGATTTATGACCGAACACGAATTTTCCCTAGAAAAATTAACAAAGCCAATAGAGGGAAGAACAAAATGAGGTGTTGCTCGAGATGCTGATAAGAATTTCCACATTTCCATGCCTGATTGGATTTCGCCTGGGGAGGGGTCCCAATCGGAGGAAGTTCGAACGTCATGGAATTATTATATTCGAACCTGATCGAGAGTTAATATTCCCGTGCTTGTGTGTAAGCTTGTGCTTATGGCAGCCTTGGGGAAATTATTTTGACGAATGACGTGACATGTGTGTAAATTCTTGCTATTGACATTGGGTTTAGTTTTTAATTGCACCACTTTTTTAACCTTTTTTTTTTTTCCTACAGTTCAACTCTCTTTCAATGGGGTTAATGCAATGTGTGTGCCAGGGGGTGAACTACAGTGGTACTTCACTACTTTATACATAGCGTTTATTTTATAGTTTAATTGATTTATATTTAAAAATGTTAACATTATAAGATTAAGAAGAAAATAAAGTTTTTAATGCTTTAAAAAACATGTTCCTTAAACACATTTTTTAGTTCTTTCCGAAAGTTAATAAAAATCTTTAATTTTACAGAAGTAATACTAATATTTATTTAAAAATTGTAGTTACCAATTCTTACTTTTAAAAGTAATCGAGAATAATATTTAGCTAAATAATGGCTTTATTTTATAAATTCTGTATTCTGCTGATATTAAAACAAACCAGTTTTATCTACCCGCCGGGAGCAATTTATACATTTTTCGGGGTGCAAAATGTAAACGAAATTCACGGATTTTAGGATTCTCGGGGACAGCTGCTTTTCGACGGGGTGTTTTTGGGAGGTGAATAGGTGTGTGCGACTAAATGTGTGTCTGTGTAGAAAGCCGTTAAAACCATATAAACAACATCTAATTGGAAGCCATCTCAATCCATCGCCATCTCGCTCGCACTAATGGTAATTACCTTGCTGTCTGACTTTGATTTTTTGCAAAACTGTGTGGAAATTTCAATGGAAATGGCCCGCAAGTTTGTGTAAACACAAAAAGGCGAGATGCACATGTTTTTCTACTACATTATGTATATAAATCTATATATGAGAGTATATTTGGCCCATAAACTTACCATTTTTGTAGGTTTTTGTTGTAGTTTTTGTTGCTAAGAAAGTGACGAAGTTTAATCCGCTGCGGCTACGGTTGGTATGTGTGTGAGTGGAATTACGGAACGCGCGTTTAACTTTATTTTACTAATTAACACACTGTAAAAAGAGAGCAAGAATAATGGATTTTTGTTTAGGGGGCTGGAACTGGAGGGGTGGATAAGAGCCTGGAATAGGAAAGAAACTGCCAAGCTTGGAAAGGAAGCGACGAAAATTAGGCACAAAAAAGGCAGGGAAAAAATAAAAAGCTACACGCGACGCTTTTTTCCTCGCCGTGGCAGTTTCTTAAATTCTGTAGCTGTAGCTGTGGTGTTGTTTTTGTTGTTCCGAATTTAATAAAAATTTTCGCCTTGCGTTTCTTTCTTTTCTTTTAATTTTTTTTGTTGCTTTCATTCGGTTTTTTTTTCGTTTTTTTTTTCATCTATTGTGCGAAATATGCCAAACACACGCGCGCACACGGCAGAAATTCTCGTTTCTATAGTAGATATGTGGCGAGGAGGAGGAGGGCTATATTCGGTTTTATACAGATATTCGTTTCATTTTTTTCGCCCGTTTTCAAGTATTTCAGCGTTGATTTTCTTTGGGTTTTTTTCTAAACGGCTAGAACGGAACTTTGCAAGCTCCTTGTTCCCGTCTGCCAATGCTTCTGTTTCTGCCTCCGCCTCAGGTACTGGTACTATAAGTATATCAACTCACGATCCTAATCAGAATCCGTCCGCAACGGTCGACGATTGAAAAAATTTTGCCCGATTCATTTGTGTCCGACTATATATAAGGTCGAAAGCAGTGATGTCATTCCAGCTTTTTTCCCGTCAGCTTAGCGGGAATTACAGCTTTCTTAGAAAATTAAAGCAGACTTCTAAATGAATTTTCGTTTCTTGACTGCACGAAATAAGCCAGTCTTTTAAATAAGCGGCTCAGTTTAAAAGGTATTGCGAATTAACTTTTATTTTATTCGTCATTATTTAAATTTGAAAATACAATTTATTTGTCAATTTTTATTGTTCTCATAACTCTTACTTGCAATCCCTGGAATTGGCCAGAGTGTCGTGCTGTTATTGCAAAAGCAGCATAACTGCTTCAATTTAATATTTTATACTTAAAATTAAAAAATAACAAGAATTATTTTCTTAAAATTAGCTTTTTCCTTAACAATTCCCCCTTGGAATTTGGCTTATTTTAGCTGTTTTGTTTGAGTAATCCAGCTTTTTTGCTCAGAAACATCACTGGTCGAAATCGCAGTCCGACAAGAGCGAAACGGCTACTGAGAGTAATTTTGTACCTCTCGCGCGCTCAAATTTTGCAGTGCAAAGTAGCGAGGGCGACGTGAGAGAGAGAGAGAACGAAGCGGTTAAGAATGCTTCGCGAGAGAATGAGCGAAGCGGTTGGAATTGCTTCGCTCTCTTTTGCTCTCTCCTTCCTTCTTCTGCATGTTTGCTTTTTTGCCTAGCTCCCGTCTTCGCGAACCGAAAAATGAAATATTTTTTGCTGTTTTTCTTGTAACGGTCGCGCCGGCGCACAAATTTTGTTAATTTAAGGGCTTAATTCAATAGCAATTTGGATATGAGCTTAAAATTCTTAGTGAAATTTGTGTAGTAAGCCTCACGAAATCGTTTGAATTTAATAATTTCCATGGCATTTTAGAGGGCAAAAGTGTTGCTTATGAATTTATTCACTAATAATTAAAATTAAGTAGCTGTTATTTTAGGAAAATGTTTCGTCACTCCTCTTGTCGGTCCCTGAACATCATGCTGGATCTCCGAGAATCTTCAAGGATCATGCGCTTTGTGCTGTACAGATCCAAGGCTCCCGTTGACGGGTCCCGTTGTCGTTGAACCGAGTTCAAGGTGCTGGGCGAGAAGCCAAAGTTACTGGTTCTTTGACTTTGGCGGGCCTCCTGAAGCCTCTCTTTGACCTTGCCCTTGTCGAACTCTTCGGCATCGAAATGGACATCGGCCTTCGGATGTAGTTGTGTACTCCTTTTCGAATAGGACGTCAGCTCTTCGGGATTCATGTCCTTGGTTTTGATCAGCTCGGAGAAGGCCAGCTTGGCCTCTATCTGCTTGGCCTGGGAGCGCTTGAGGCGATAAAAGTCCTCCCTTTCAAACTCCTCCAGCTCACCATTTATGTAGGTAGAGGTATTCTGCAGAATCGGTATTACCTAGGGTTAAGTATAATTTATAAATTTACTTTTCCTATATAAATATATATTTCTTGATCTTTACCACATGTTCCAAGGCGTTGACTCTCATGTTGGTTTGCAGTGAAGCCGCCTCCAGCATGCGCACCTGGACAAAGATGGAGGCACAGGCCACCAGTTCGGTGAGTGCCTGCGTATAGCTGTCCCTTATCCGCTGGACTTGACAACCCCCAACGCTGAGTCCGGCGAGTGGAAATCCCGTGGTGCTGCCGTTCTTTATCGTTAGCTCCAGGCAGTTAAGAGTGACGCCCACGATCTTGGTGTAGGTGCGATATATATTCGCAGCGTCCACCTTGCTGCTGCTCACTATTTGTGGATGGAAATCGGCACCTAGGAGGCGGGCCTTTGCCATCGTAAAGATCGCATCGCGCATACTATTGTCCACGACCTCGTCCTGCTCGTTTAAAAAACGCTTCAGCTCGCGTAGCTTCATGTCTATGGCGTCCCGCTTCCGCTTGAGCAGACCCACACCTCTCCTGGCCGCCAGGACGCGCTGCTTCATGACCACCGAGTTGGCCCGGGAGGGGAAGACGGGCAGGATGTCGCGCTTGGCCATAATGAGTTTGGAAAATGTCCGGGGGGAAAATAAATTTTGGATTTTGAATTTGAATTAATTTTCAAAATGTCGAGATCTTAAAATATTCCTGTTCAAACAAATGGTTTACTATGCAAGACGAAAAATTAAATAATAAAATAATATTATAAAAATATTTAAAATTATATTATAATTATTTAAAATATATGGAATTATAATTATATATAATAAATAAATAAATCTTATAATCATTACATTGAAATATTAATCATACGCAGCGTTGACTTGCAACATTTTCATTGTTAAGATTGATTGATTTTTAATTCAAAATCTTAATCTTATTAAAATTATATTAAATATAAAATTTTAATTAAAATTTTTGTCATACATCTGATTGATTATTGCAGAGAAATGCCAAGCTCAACTGGTAACTCTTTTCACTGCGTCACGTTTAGTTAATCAAGAAATCTCTGTAAAATTAAAGCCAATGGAATTGTATAAAACATATTTTAGATTCCCAAAAGATTGCGGAGACAACGTCCGGGGGATTTAGCGTAGGCAACACTTGGCCCACAAATCCGTGGTCGGGAATAATGGCAACGGGATATGCGTGTGCAATTACCATGCAGAATATATATGGCAGGGCACGCTGGTTTGGTGGCACGGCTCGTGTGGCCATTCCACTGGGATTGCACATTGGACAGTTGGACAGTTGGACACTTGGACATTTGGCCATTTTGCGCAATTTTCCAGCTGCTGTACGATTTCCTCAGCATTTTGCCGCAGCGAATTGTCGCAATGTGGCGCCGCTTGGTGCAACGCAGCCTTGGCGCATTTGCAACGCATGCCAACAAGTTAAGTATGTTAACCTCTGGAAAATTAGACATGGGCGTCTGGGGGGTGTATGTGGTGTTAAGGGTGGCAAATGGTGGTTGGTGGGATAGGTAACGAAAACGAAAATGAAGTAACAATGCAGCAAACATCGGCTGTCAGGGAGGGGGGCCAAAGGGGGCGTTCTGTAGTTGTCGTTGTACTTGTAGTTGTTCGTTGTCGTTGTCGCTTGGCGACGACAGCAATGCGCCATTTTTCGTTCGACCCGCAAGACATGAAAATTCGGCTTTCCCTTGCCTTTCTCCATGAGTGTGTGTGTGTGTGTGTGTGTGCGTTTTCATTCTTTCTGCTGGATTTTCGGAATCGCAGGCGAAGCCACCATTTTCCCCATACTCGCTGAGAAGACAAAATTTATCGCAAGTCGATAAGAAATCAAAAGAAATTGCCTTACATGTTATATATCTTTTCAAAAATAAACTTTATTTACATGGTCTTGGTTCATATATATTGCCTTTATCAATGTTTACCCAGTCACGAATTTATTATTATGTTATCTAGTTGATATTTAGAACTGATTTCCTTAATAGTTCCCTAATTTTTTACTTAATATATTTTGATTTTCTTTTTTTCCATTGAAATGTATTTTATTTTTATCCCTTCTTCCCAAAAAAGGAGGTTGTCCTCGTTTCTGTAGGGAAAACAAATGTGAATGTGCGATAAATGCTAAGTAAACACGATTTAATTGCAAGCAAACATTTGTCTTTGCTCTTAGGGGATTATTAATTTGCATACCTACTTAAATGGCGCACATTTATGAATATGCTGTGACATTAAATGCCACAAATGTATGTTACGCCAACTGGCAAACGTTAAGGACAAAAAGGTCTTCAGCAAAAAAGGTTTTTTAGGGTTTTATTCAACAGAATCTTCAAATTCCCAAGTAGAAATTCTATTTAATTATCCAATTAATAGTCAAGTTGTACCCATAAAATCAGAAACTAATATTTAAGTATATATTTCTTTATTTTCAGTATATGCATTATAATAAGATGTAATAAGATATTATGTATATATTTTATTACTTTCCCTTTTTGCCCTTGCCCTTGGCAGCACGACGGTTCCTTTTGCGCTGATCCTTCTTCCATTTGCGCCAGTATTTCTGGATCGTGGCCGCCGCTCGGTTCATCATGAACACCACCAGCTTCTGCTGTTGAATACGACGCTCTTCCTCCTCGCGTTTTACTACAATGTTCTTGTAGATCCGCTCCTCATGCCGGAACTGTACCATAAAGTCATCGAGCACCTTTTTGGCCAGTAGATACTGATCCTCCATGGCGATATTGGCACGCATCTTCTCGCCCAGAGTTGTGTCGTATTTCTTGAGAAGACTTTGCAGTTGCAGCAGTAACTTGTTTCTGGTTGGGTAAAATTATATAGATTATACATTTATTAAGGGTTATAGTCTTATACTTTTCATTCCTCAGATCTTGCTCTTCACGAAGGTTCTTCTTGGTCATAGTTTCATAGGCTTCTCGGGCAGCAATCAGCTGCTCCTCCAGCTCTTTCTGCCTGTCGGTGCTGCCCTTGTGGTACAAGCGCATAGTGCGATTGCATTTTTCACTGGTAAAATATAATCATATACATATCGAGTATTCCTCCGAAGAAAGAAAGAGTGTAATTGTAGGGAATATCAAACTTACATCTCATTTTGAATCGCCACATTATTCTGCCACTTCTTGTTGGCCAGATCATCCTCTACCTTCATCAGGTATATACCTTTAGCGGCCGTCTTCCACTTGCCAACCACCTTTTGAAATGCCAGACTAGACTTTAGTTCCAGAATCTTCTTTTGTATATCCACATTCTGGTGATAGATGGCATGCAGCTTGCGCTCCTTGGTGATCTCACTGCGTGAGGATCGATTCAGGTGCGTGTGGGCACTCTCAAGGAGGAAGTGAAAGGCGGCCAACACCTTACGATCCCGTTCTTCCAAATTTCGCATCAGGTGGGGAAAGAATCTATAGATTTGATGGTTAACCAGAAAAAAGTCAACGATTCGCATGGTGGTATGATCGTGGGGCAGTTTGGAGCGACCCGTTTGCTTGCCCAGGTGATGCATCATCTTGTCGATGGGTCCCAATATCTCCTCATAGCAGGTGTTTTTTAAGACGCTCTTTAGGTTATCAGCGTTAGCCAAGAGTTTGGGTATAATCATGGCTATTTTTATACGCTCCTGGGATAACTTGAGTACTCTTTCCACACCCTCCAAACGGGCCCTACGCTCGGCGGATTTATCTGTCGAGGAAAAAATTAAATAAAATATAATTCATAATTTTCAAACATTTACTTACCCATTTTGGGGAAAGACTTGTGGTATATGGATCCTCTATTTAGTATTAGCTTTTACTGGATTATATATATCTAATAATTCTTTAGTCCTTTTCTTTTAAAATATTTGATTTTGAATGTCTGTAATATGTTTTTTATTCAGCTTTTTTATGTGTTTTGTGTGTGTACTCGATTCAAGGTCTTGTGGAGCTCTGAGCTGATGTATTATTATTTTTGATGGATAAACAAGACAGTCTGCTATGTTGTTGCTTTGGGTAACAAACCCCCTTTTCGATCGAGAAGTGACTTAAAAACAAAGGGGCGATGTGATGACGGGCGGAACAGTAGTTTTGAATGGCGTTTTCATGGCGCTGCCTGGCTGAAAACTTTGGCCAAGTGCAGTAGTTGACAATGAAGTGGGGTGTGGGGTTTATGGGTGGCTCTAGGGCTCTGGGTTCTGGGGGGTAGGTTATTTGCTTGTGTGTGGCCATGTCGCATTATGTCAACTGGCGTGGCATGAATGAAAGCTGCAGCAGCAGCAGTGCAGAAGGGAAGAAAATAAAAAAAAAAAAGAAAACCATAAGAGCATGAAACGAACTTGTGAATGCAGAACAATGTTGCTCGGAGGAGGAGGGGGTGGTGGTGTGTGCTTTGCGAAAAGTTCGTCACTCAGGTAGAAAATCCACCTAATGAAACAGCCATGAAAAAGGGGGAGCCAAGAGAAAGCTTTACCCTTCGGTGGATCTGCCAAAAATCACGTTCATAAGTACAGGACGTTATATGAAAAGGAACAAATGGTTTAATAATGTGATTGTGATATAAAATATCCATTTTCTAGTTTTTATTTTCTTAAAATCATTTCAGCAACGTTGGCAAATATTCTTTTTGAGTTAGAAATATTATTTTTCAAAGAAAAAAGCTTATAAAAGATCTATAATTATCATGAACCAATAATCACATTTTAATATTACTGAAAATTTAACTTGTTATACTAAAAATAATCCATTTAGCTAAGCTCCACTGTGCTTTAAAGTACAGGTGCACAGCTCCGCTTAATTCCAATTCCATTTCGTTTCCACCTCTATTCCCATTTCTATCCCATTCGTTTCCCCTGCTACGCCCTTCCTCTCCTTCCACTTCCACATTTGCCAGGGTGAAACGCAACAAGTAAGAAGAAGCAACTGCGCCGAGGCCAAAAAGTTTCCAGGCACCAGCATATCCGAAAAAAAACAACAACAACCAGGACAACAAGGACAACGGTGATGACAAAAATGAATGGCGAACATTTGCTGAAAACGTCGCAAAGTACCAAGCCCCCCTACCCCCTCCTGGCAAATGCTCTCTTTCTCACACAAAAAAAAAAAAAAAAAAAAAAAAAAAAATACAACAATACCTGCTTGTGTGCGTAAAATGCTGCAATGCGAACAAGCAGGAAAAAAGGAAACCTAGAACAAGAAAAGAAAATAAAATTGAGCAAGAAATAATATTTGTTGTTGTCTTTCGCAGGGCTTGCAAGAAAAGCGATGAACGATAGAGATACGGAGAGAGTAAGCAAGCAGAAAAGGCAAAAGAAATGACGCATAAGCAGAGCAACAAGAGAGCTTTGAGAGAAGGACTTGCAGAAGCGAAGGAGAGCGCCCAGTTTCATGGAACAAAATTTGTTACGGCGAGAGACCAACAGAGAGCGCCCTCGGAGTAGGCAACGGTTTTCAAGTACCAATACCAAGGAGCACATTTCCAAGAGAGTACAAGAGTGCGCTCTCAAAAGTATGCAGCAAAATAAGCAAAATCATCTGCTCCACATACGTATACGTAACAAATGGCCATGCAAAGCCAACGCAGAAAAACGGTAACGGTTCTGCAAAGAACCTGCAGCCCAAAAGGCAAGGTCTAACAAAGCGCTCTCTCTCTCTCTCTCTCTCTGTGTCTCTCTGGCCCACATCCGCTCAGCTGCTCGCATTTACCGTTAACCGATTACAGCCCTGGCTCATTATGTTCCGTTGCCTTGGTATTGTTGTATATTTTTTTAGTCCTTACTCGACTGTTTCTTTTTAAGTTCCCCTTTCTTTTTTCACCGTACGTTCTTTTTTTTCTCGCCTTCTGGCCTCTTCCCTTCCATCTACAGTTATGCTTGGCTTGGCCGCATTGCAGCTATAAATTTGTTTGTGGTTCACATTTGCCTTGGAAGATTACTTTTGGGCATAGTCGCAGCTCCAAGGGAAGAACAACCATAGAGAGGAGGTAGAGGAGAATGAAAAGAATACCGTTGGAACAATGGACTCAAGGAAAGGGAAACGAGAAACGACAAACTAACTGTGCTCGCCGTCGCTTTTAATGGCGGCGGGTAGTGGGGCTCTCTGGGTTGGTTCTTTGGGGTGGAAACCCCATAAAGAACCTTTTTGAGAAAGTGTTATTATAATGCTCGGTTCGGTCTGCCAACGGGAAGGTCAGGTTGTTTGGATTCCGCCAGAGGAAACTAAAGATACATACCCATGGGGTCTTTCCCGTTAAGCGGGATGGCTAAAGATTTCCGCGATAAAATACGGATTGGGAGAGTATGTTTTAAGATGTATTTTCTTTAAGCCTAAATATTATTTTTCGAAAAATGCGTTTTATGTGGAGAAAGGAAAAGGATAAAGAAATGAAGGAATGTAAACCTAAACCTAGGTTAACCAAGATAAAATAAAAATCTAAGAACTTCAAGGGAAAACGTAAAAATTATAACCAATTCCTACCAATTTCCTTTTAATCCTCTTTATGTGACGGATTTTCCAATGAAACAGAAAAAAAAAATAGGAGCCCCAAAAACCGGATAATTTTCCCTTTTCGAAAACAGTCATAGTTTCCTTTTGCCACAATTTCGTCTGTTCTCGGAAGGCATTGAGTTGGCCAACCAGGAACCATTTGGCCAGGCACCTGCTTTTGTCACCTGAGCGAGGACCAAAGGAAACGCTCACATTTGGGAATCCTTGGCAAGTGGCGGCGCCACGCCCACCTGGACAAGTTTCTGGTGAATTTTTCATGGCTTTCGCTTCTCCTCTGTCTCTGATTTTTTTCCTGCCTCGTTTCCGTTCGGCAGTTACACTTTGGACTTTAGTTTTGGGTCTGCTCCGTGACAGTCTGGCATGTATTTCGAGTTGGTAATGTTCAGTACTTTTTAGGGGGCGACTTGCACTCAAGTTGCCCCTAGAACTGAAAACTTTTGGCTTTGGCTTTCGTTTGGTTTGACTTGCCAACCTCCTCTCCTCTGTAATTTGAATTTTCTGAACTGTGAAGCGAGCGAGTCAGGAGAACAAAGTGTCGTGAAGGCCCTGCAAAGAGTTAACTTGGCTAATAAAGCGAAGCCAGCACAATCCACCCCGCCCAACGCTCGACCTGTCTGTTTCACAATTCTTATTTTTTTTTTGCTCCTATTAGAAAAGTTTTTGTTCGCTTTGGTGCACATTTTTTCCATCGTTTTTTCTCTTTCCCTTTTTTATTTTTGAGTTTTTTGATAATTTAATAAACTAGCAAAAGTTGAGAGAGAAAGATTTAACTTTCGCTATGCTTGCGAAAAATAAATGAAATTGAAATTCACATGGCTATGCCGGATCAAGGATTCCATGTCCTTGGTTTTTTGGTAAAGTGCTTTACAAAACTTTAATTGAATTACTTGCAGTTATTGGTTTGTCAGGCAATAAAGTTACTCAAAGAGGTTGTTCATTTAAGAGGATTTAAATGGGAAATATAATTTAATTTATTTTCATAAGTAAGACAAATAATTTAGGTTTGAAGTCAATATTCAAAACCTTTTTTTACTCTATGAGAGATTCTGAAAAGAGAACAGATTTCCCATATTATTAATAAGCAAGTAAGTGAGACGTAAGCCTACCTTTCCCTTATATAAACCTTCTTATAGTACCCAAAAAATAATAATTAAATTAGACAAATCCTAGCAATAGTTTCTTAAATTATTATGCTTGCATATTTTTGTCACGAACTGTTCCTATATCTTCATTCCCACCCTCCGATTGCGGCCACTTAATTGTGATATTAGCAAGATATTTTATTTCAGATATATACCCCGCACGTGCTGGCTAGCATCGTCTTCAAATATTATATTTCCTATATTATTTTCTGTTTGACCAAAGTCAACAATAAATGACAAAATGCCCGCACGTGCACAGTGTCCTTCTGCGTTCTCCCTTATCCTGTTTAATTTGGGCCAAACATCAAATGTCCTGGCCGAATGATTGATGAGACTGCGTATTTGCAGGGAGAGCAAAAAAAAAAAAAGAAGGAAAATTCACTTGTTAGCGGTAAACCAAACCGTTTACTTTCCCAACGCGAAGCCTGTGAAAATCTCTCTGGAGCAAGTTAATAAATTGTTTGCTGTATTTGTTGCATTTAACGCCTACACAATTTTTGCGTCGGCAAACTTTGTAATGAAGTCGCTGCGGGAGAAACCTTTATCAGGTTTCACAAACTTGCCTTAGAAAACAGTCGAGACTCTTGAGAGTGAAATTAGTTAGTTGTAGAGACTTGAAGCGGCAAGGAAAAGGATAATTGAGATTACTTAAAACTTGGCTTTTAAAGATAATTAGTTATATTTTGAGATTTTTGGAGTAAATCAACTACATCTCAAAGAAGAACAAAATCTTGTTTATAAAATTGTATAAGGTACGTGAGACATTGTGCGAGCTTGGATATCCTTTTAAGGTCAAAAAATTAGCAGTATGTCTCTTTAACCTAATCTAAGAATAATTTCTCTTCATTTCTGGCAAAGATAAATCCTTTAAAAGTTCAATTTAGGCAACTTGTACTGTGTATTAAGACCCCGCGGTTTGTCCTGCTTTGTTCTCTTGATCTCTCCTTTGTTTCGTATGCAAGGCACGCAAATTTGTTGCCAATAAGCAACCGAAAACAATTTTTATAAGGCTTGACTGGGAGGCAGATGGCTGGGCAAACGGGGATGCCAGCAAGGAAGTGACTGCCTATGCGTGCTGCGTGCGCTTCTGGTCCGCTCTGGCTTCTGCCTCTCGCCTTTTTGGTCCTTGGTACCCCCAAAAACTTCCTGCTTTTCCGGCTTGAGCCCAGGGTGAGACCCTGGAGTTGCTTAGCTCCAACGGCCCCGGATCCCAGAATGTAGGTCATGTTGGCCAGAGAGAGAGAGAGTGAGAGAGGGAAAGGACCTCAAACACTCCCAGGCTCCCCATATACACTGCCCGAATTCATTATACATACACAGAATATTCGGGAAAGCCGGAAAAGCTGAGGAAGCGGGGACTGCAGGCTGGCAAGCAAGCAACACTGTTTCCCATGAATACTTTATTCAGGTTCTGTGTAAGTGGGCGTGGCTTACATACCATTTCCACCTCGACTTGGATATGTGCTTTATTATAATAAAAATTTCATTAGAAAATTGAATGTTGACGTGTCGCATGTGCCACACTTCCGGCATCCCATTCTCTCTTATCTGCACATCGCACACACACATCACTGTATAAATTTAGGGACTGAAATGTATCCTTCATAAATTTAAAGTCATGAAAAAATATCCCCATAAACGGTTAACAAATTACTGAAATTAATTTGAACAATAGAAGTTGGGGGAGGCCTAGAAATAGGGAAATTTATTTTGAGATTTTTGAAAGGTGCTATGAGATCTTTGAAATCTGTAATGTAAATAAGAAGAAACTATAAGTATAACCTTCATATATAAAAAGAAATGTGAAATTCTTTGTTTTCAGATATTAAAAACAAGCCTTTCCCGTTTTGTAGACCTAAAAAGCGATCCCTTTCTCAAGGCAAAGCTAATCATCTTTGGCCGCAAACTTTCCCACTCAACATTGCGTATACGCAATGTGGGCCCTGAGTAGCACCATTACTCCAGCTCAAACTCAGTCTCTGCCTCAATCATCCTAGACAAATGAGGGTCCTTGTCAATATGAGTAATAGCTCATCAAAGTTTCATTTTCAACCTTTTTTTGTTGTTTTTTCCCACACTTTCCGTGCATGCAAATCAGTGCCTCGGCAGCAGCGGTAACAAAATAAAATGAAATTGGTAACTTTCGACAAACCATTTAACCCGAAACTGAAAGTATGACAAGACAAAGTTTTATTTATGGCCGAGACATGGCTAGAGCCCCGAAGGCAAATGGTCTTGTAATACATTTAGTTATAGACGAACCGAGAGTATATGTATTTATGGTTGCTTTTTGTCACCCCAAAAAAAAAAAAGGGAGTCCCAAATGTAAGTTGTGACACATGCAATAATTTGATTTTCCTCGCAAATAAATCGTAAAGATGGGCGTTAAGTTTTTGGGTTTGCTTTCGATTTCGATTTCGTTGTCGTTTTCGATTTTGTTTTCGTTTTCAATTTTCAAAGTTGCCCAAAAAAATACAAAGCAAGCAGGACCTGCTTTTTCCATTTACATGTTTGTATTGTGTTGTGGGCGTAATGAGACAAAAGGCAGCCTGCCGCCCGTCATGGAGAGCATGTTTTATCGATAATTCGTGAGTGCGACGCAGCACCACTCACTCGGTAGGCAATCCACTCCATTACAACCCAATATACACAACCACCACGCACTCACATTCCCTTTCCCCCCACTCGGTTTGTATAACAAACAAATGTTTTTTTGGTATGTGTCAGGCGCCGGTTTCCCTTATTTTCCTTTTTTCCCTGCTCTCCATTCTATTATTATTATTATTTCCCTTTGTTTTTTTTGTTATCCGAAAATCGGGTTTTTTTTTGCGGACGCGCAACTGACACGAAACTTCACTCTATACCCACGGATACATATAGACGTATATATATAGAGGTTGCTTATATAGTATATGTCTTCCGTTTGGAAGGTATTGACAGGAAATTGGAACCGGGGCCGATTCCTGAGCTAAGGGTGTCATGTTCGTGCCGAATATGGGAGACATGTGCCCCAATAATCGTCCCATAAAGCTAAAAATAATATGATATTTATTGCTGTAAATGACAAAAAACTAAATTTACATACGAAATATATGTCTGAACATTTGATTTATTTGTTTACCTAAGACGTTTTTGGATTCCTTTCAATCGATTGATTGACATTAAGTGGGCCATTAACCGGGCTGACTCAGCCTCAATCTGTGATTTTTGTTCTAAAAAAATAATAATTTCTTTGCTTGGCCAATTAAAATTCCCATAAATTATACAAGTATTATTCAATTAGCGTGACAAATACCTCTCTCATACATAATGCAATGCCGTAATAAGTGCGGGCCAAGAAATGAGAAATGCAGCCCAAGACATGCAAGCCGTAAGCTTATTAATAATAATAAAGAAAGGCGACTGGACAGTAAGGAAAAATGTCAGGAAAAACAGTGGCAGTGGCAAGTGTCAGCGAGCAGTGTCAGAAAGCGCATTTAACACGGGGAAGGAGGAGTGAGGAAAACTGACTGGAAAACAAGGCGGGCAAAAGTTAAATGAAAATGGAAAATAATTAGCAAACAACTGCAGTGCAAGGAGAAAACTAAGTCAAAGATATTTGGCCTCGACAATGAAATACCGGGCTTGAGGCTTGCACAGTTATTGCATACTTGTGGGCGGTAATAAATGCAAATAAATTATTTATTATAATCAAGAGGCTACATTATAAGTAAAGTCAAAGAATATTTAATAACTAATAAATAAATAATTTGTACAATTACTTTACCTTTGAATATAAATAATAAATGATCCCATACACCTCTTAAACCCTTTTAAAATCAAATTACAGGGTACAAGCCAGAAAGAGAGGCCTTAAAAAAGGGAAGAAAGAGAAGGAATGCTCGGCATAGCCTTGTCTTGGCTTGCCTTGCTGCCCAGATTACGATAATTATATTAAAAATAAACTCTTTATGGTATTCCATTCATTTTTATTATTATTGCCACCAAGAAAGTGACCTTGTTGAATTATAAAAAATATGGGGAAAACAAGGAAAACAAGAAGGAAAACTGCATCACAAGCTACTGGAAAAACAACAAACAACAAGAGCAACAAATAGCGATAAGCATGCAATTCGTATGACATGCAATCCATTCAAAATGTCCCGACTAATTAAAGTTCGCTCCGGTTTTTACCTTGGATTAATTTTTTTTTTTTTTTTTGAGTGCATTGCATACCTTTGGGCGAACAGGTTAAATGACAAGGCTGTGTGGCATGCAAAGTGTAATTTATAAAGAAAATGCCTGCAAATAGTTGGATAAAATATAAGCTTAAGTTGCACTTTATCGCTAGAGAAATTCAAAGAGTAACACGGAGAAAGAGGGAGTGCTTCTCAGAGAAAGAGGTCAGTGGGCGGAGTCGACCTGAGGTTGCAAAGGTGCGATAAAAACTCGAAAAAAACACACAAAAAATAAAACAAACGCATGCAACCTAGCAAAAAAAAAAAACGAGCAATAAAACTATGAAATATACATAAGGATAAACACAAGTATTTATAATAAACACGAATACCAAATACTCTTTACGTATAAATCATGAGGAACTATTTCGACCCAACAAACAAATGCCATTAAGAAGCAAATGTACTTTAATTTCTGACTTTTCGGAGGCGGAACATTTACAGTTTTACATGGAAATGCACCGAAATGAGCCCGTGACATGACATGCCAACGCAAGTCTGACATGGAAATGCGAGGGCCGCAGCCAGTGGAAATGCGGAAAAGCGGGGACTGCAAACATACAGACAGAAAAATATGCCTATTTTTAACAACAAATTAAATTTTATCTTTAAAATGTAAATTTGATTATTTTTAAATTAAATAGTTTTTCGAGTTTTTTTAATTGTATCTAATTTTTGTGTTGTATTTATAAAGAATATATTAAACAATGGCTCTTTTTGTGTTGTTAAAAATCTGTTTAAATTTGAATAAATTTATTTTGCATCCTAAAATTATCCTAAAATTATTTTCTAACAAAATAAAATAATTTTTATATTTTCTAACAAAATAAAATAATTTTTATAACAAATTAAAATAACAAAATAAAATAATTTTTAAATTTCTTTAAAAGTTATTTTAATTTATATAAATACTTAATCAAAACCTATTTTTATTTAATTAAAAGAAATAAAAAATAAAACACCATAAAGTTAAAATAATATCACTTCGAAATATATATTCTCTTTCTAAAATATTTGATAGATTTTTACACTTTTTTAATAAGTTCACTTGACAATTAATTTGTTCTTATATTTAATTTTCTCAGTGCAATCAACTGGGGGGACTAAAAACTCGCATGATGGACGGACAGGCGGAAGACTGATGGCTCTGACGCGTGGAGAGTGGGCCAGGGGAGTGGAAAGCCAAAAGAGTGGCAGCCACAGCGATAACTTTTCTACTTACGAATACTCACAATTGTTCTTTTCCCCCTTGGCGCAGCGCCACACTTTCGTAATTGTATTTCCCTTATTATCCTGACTCATTTTGGGGGTCGGGGTAATTATATAAGGTGTTTTTTTTTCGGCAAGTTCATGAAACTTGTACGCCAAGGACAGGTTAATTAAAAAAATGTTCATCAAATAATACTAATGGAAGTGGAGAAAAGTGTGAGTCCGTCATGATATCACCTTTATTTTTCTATATTTTATATTTAATTTCTGGATTTATAAAATTAAACGTTAATACAAATAAGGTTTACAGATTTATAAGATTAATATAATAATAAAGCTAACTAAAACTATTAAATGTTAATATATCTTGAGATAAATTTTAGTAATATTTTATTTAATAATTTTTAATTTGAAAATATTCAAATATATTCAAATAAATAGTGAAAGTAAACCAAATGCAACCACATACATATTACACCGTCTAAAACCTTACCCAACAAACCATCAGCAATCGGTAGACATTAATTTATTCAAAAGTGTATTAACTAAGCACTGTGTTCACCTTCTATTTGAGCCAAGCAAATATTTACTTTGGCTTTTTCCAACGCCAGATTTTGGCAAACACAAGCCAAAGGCCAGCCTAAATCGTTTTTGGTCGCATTTAACGTTCTCGAATTTCACTTTCATTTGTCTCAAATATTTACCGCTGACAAAGAGACGGTCCATAAAAGGTAATTACTATAAAATCGAGAGGTCCAATTGGATCGAAGGCAGTTACCAACGAAAACCTCAAACTGAAAGTATCGAAAATCAAGTGAAGCTATGAAGTTCGCGTCTCTGATTATATCCTTTGTCCTGATTGTGGTTTTGACCTCGCAACTGGAGGCTCGGTTGCTCCTGAGTAATGGCAATGGTTTCTTTTGCCTGTGGAATTCCAAGAGATCCTGCTCCAAAAGCACTCCTAGATGCCTCCGGTTGCAGATAGATGCAACTCCCACATATATGTGCAAGTACTATTGGAATGATTGCCAGTATCTTCTCGATAACTGCAAAGGAGTGACAGGTAGATATTATTACTTTGCTTATTTATTCACTAATTAATAATAAATAAAAGGAAACAAGGAATATGCTTAGAAGAAAGATCAATATTTCGATAAAATAGCAAGTTTTTAAGATATCGATATTTTTTATAAAATATTCTGTTTTAGATATACAAGAGAAATGCATTAATTTTATGTATTTTTGTGGCCTTTAAACTGTAAATATTTTCTATTTATTTTCTATTCTTTTACTTCTACTAGATTTAATAATCATGAGATTTAACACCTTTTAAATAATTATCGATAATAATCGATTTTTAACTGATAAATTCAATGAATCGCTTTACGCAATGAGGTATAGAACATTTTTAAGCATTCTAGCTTGTTCCTTATAAGTTAACCCCTTATTGTTTAATTGTTTAATTTCAATACTAAACAATCATATACTTTATTTACAGTTTTTGGCCAGGGGGAACCCGTTGATGTATCTACATGCGTTACGAATAATATTGCAATTGGTTCAACTGGAATATGCACTTAGGCAAACTCATCTTAAGTTATTTGCATTTTCTATCAGTTTTATAACTTTATAACGTTTATGTATTTATTGATTAAACATTTTATAATGAAAAACAGTATTTACACAAGATTATCATAAGAAATGTCAATCACTTTTATCGACAGTTTATAACCAATTCCAATCGTATATATTTTATATTTTACAACTTAAATCTTTCATCTAATAAATGCTTTTGTCAAATTGACAGGAAGCGGAACTATGTTTTATCTGGAAATGATTCATTAAAGCGCGGTTTTAGCTGCCGTTTCAACTCGTTTAGCGTTTTATGGTTTTTCCCTCGCTTCATATCGCTATGATGTATGCTTTAAACATTTTCCCCACAACCTTTTTTTCCCGCTCTTTTTAATTGCATTCGCATAAATCGCAGTACTTTGTGAGAAGGGAAAAACGAGGGGGGGAATTATGGTTATGGCCACACACAACACACAGCATACACACATAGAGAGACACGCGGACAATGTAAATTTATGGAGCTTCGCTTTTTAGTTTGCAATTTTTCGCCATTTTTGCTACTTTCTCTTCGTTCCCATTTTCTTTTTTTGTTTGCTTTTGTATAGAGCGGATGTGAATGGCGAAACGCCTGCGGATGCAATTAGAATGGCACAGCGAACGCACACATACAAACACACATAAATAAATGTTTGTATGACTGAAATATAGGTCATTACGAAACATTTTGGCAGTGAAAGTTCAAATTATTTGCATAATTTAAGCATAAATCTCTTCGCTCCCGGTTTCGGTCTCTTTTGGGGTTACAAATGAGCGCTTTTGTTGCTAAAGAGAATGCGGTGCTGATATGTAAAGTTAAGGGAAATCAGACTACAACTACATGAAAAATGGGTTTTTATAAAAGAAGACAAAGTTAAAGGAAATCAAACTTAAACTACATGAAAAATGGTTTTAATAAACGAATTTTAAGACAAATTTAAAGAAAGTGTTATGGAAATTTATGAGTAAAATAAATTAGTATCCGCAAATCAAGTATTTAACATATTATCAAACCTTTAAGAATCTTTTAAAAAATATTGACTTAAAATATTTATAAAGTCTAATTAAATATTTTTATTGAAATCATTTAATTATTTTCTTTATATTTACTGTAGAAACTAAATATGAAGTTTATATTATACATTGTTATACTGTTTGTCTAAGATCTTGACATTGAGCTAATAATTTCACAACTTTAGGTTCAATATTTGGGTTGCTTATTTAGTAAAAACAAATATTAAATATCAGCTTAAGAACATTTGTTTGAAGGGTGTACATAATCGGTAGTTCAATAATCTGTTCATTTGTTTTAAAGGTATATATAAATCTCTAGTACTGTTAGAAAGAATCTAATAAACAAATTATGATGGTATATAAAAAATATGTTAATTTATACAGGGTATTAAATTTTGTAGTCAAATGTTTGCCTTTGACTCATTAAAGGAGATTTTTTAACCTAATAAAAATTAGCAAAGAAAACCTTTTCGAATTAAATTTCATGATTTTTATGATAGAAATTCAGTCCCTTAAGTGTATACCAACTTCGACTTCCAAAAGTTAGCTTTCTTTCTTGTGGTTTTTCATTGTTTATTTATTTTCAATTGATATTTTTTCGGACTCAGCCTCTGCGTATGATAATGGGCGTAATATTCGAAGAAGAAGATGATGAACCCAATATGGAGGAAAGTATGTTGGACAGCGTGGAGCTCGTGGAAGATGAAGAGGAGGATGTTGAGAAGGTACTGACACAGGTGCCAGTAGTGTTTACAGCAATGCTCGAACAATTGCCAATGTTGACTACATTCCAGCCTGTAAAAATTAAAAGAAATGTATTAATTATATAGATTACAGATTATATAATAATATACTCACTAGACACACTCGTGTTGCAGTTTGTTGCCTCCAGACGGCAGTCGTTCCTAAAACGTCGACACCTGCGGGTATTGGCCCACCTGCCGCAGACATTTCCGTTGGAAGAACAGCTGGTTGTACTGCAGCGAGAAGAAGGCCTGGAGGAGCTGCTGCTGCTGGTGGAGCTACTTCCGGTATTGACGACGATCACCCGTCGAGAGTTGCGTCCATTAACCGATCTCCCTCTTACGGTTCCCGCCCGTGCCCTAGTACGAGTCGTTCCGGCCCTTGACCTACGTGATGTCCCAGTCGCCAAGGTCCTAGCATTGGTTTTCCTCTGACTCCTTTGGGCATCGGTGGCCACCGCGATCAGAACGATCATCACCAGAATAGCCAATGTCAAGCGCATTTCGATGTCTAACTCTCACTTATAATAAAGTTCTACTGGTTTTATAGCTTCCCGAAAAGTTGAATATCTAAGGGTGGCCTTGAAAGATGTTTACCATCGGATTCCTTCCTTCATTCTTATGTACAAAGAAACATATTTAAATTATAATTTTAGCTCTAAAGTCTTTGTTGGCTTTGGACTCTCTGCCCAATTGTGTAAATACTTCAGAATTCATCTAATAACGCAGTATAAAAGATGTTTAGTTTTACGTCACGTGAAGACTATAAATATTAATAAATTTAAATACATAATCTGAGGGAGTTTTGAATTTTTAGCTTATACTTTTAGGCTTGATTTTAAATGTCCACGGGTTGTGAGGAATATATAAGGAGCTTTTCTTTGAAAAAATAATGCTTAAAAAGTTTAAACATTTCTTTATTTGTTGGGTTTTTGTATTAACATAATTTAGATGGGTTTTTGGAAATTTCAAGCAGCTTTCAAGGCTTTAAAGATATCGAGAGCAGCTCTACGCACAACTTTTCCATTGGGATTTGCAGGCAGCTCGTTGGTAAACTGAACTCCGGCATGGAGCTGCTTGTACACTGCAGGCAAGGCCTTAGCCACATGGTCCACAATCTCCTTGGCACTTAAGCTAGATCCTGTCTTCAGGACAACCAAGGCACCGGCTTCATCGTTCTCGAGCTCATTGCGTATGCCTACCACGCACACATCCTGCACTTGTGGTAGCTCCAATATCACAGCTTCGATCTCACCTGGCCAGTAATGCATAGCTTCGTACTTGAGGATGTCCTTGCAGCGGTCTACCATACACAGGAAGTTCTCTTCGTTGAAGTATCCCATGTCTCCGGTGTGGAACCAGCCATCGGGGTCCTGCATCTGTCGTGTAGCCTCGGGATTTCCGAAGTATCCCTGCCAAGTCAACCCATTGTGGACACATATCTCACCCACTTGGTTGTGCTCGAGGTTTTCTCCGTTCTCGCCCACAATCCGAATCCTGACACCCGGCACTGGTCTGCCCACAGGGTTTCCTTTTTCAAGTCTATAGCTAATCGCTACGTTTCCAATCTCAGTGGTTGAATATGAATTGGCCATAATCGGATTTTTAAGAAGTTTCTGGCCTTTTTGCAATGTAGTCAGGGCAATAGCTCCACCACCGTAAATTAAAATACGTAAAGAAGATAAGGACTCTGAAGTCGCTTCGGGACAATTCACGAGAGAGGTAAAAGGACAAGGGGCAATGGACATTATATCAACTTGGTACTTGCTCACCAGGTGCACAATATACTCGGAGGTAAACGGATTTCTGCTCAAAATGCGGGTACAACCGTGAATGGTGTTGAACGTAAACATAACAACTCCCCCTATCCAGTCCAGGGCGGTCGATTGAAGTATAATCGATTCGCTGTTTATTGGCGAAGGTGCGAACTGCAACAGCCTTCGATTTGGAATGCACACCACTTTTGGCAGTCCAGTGGTTCCGGAGGAGCAAAGCAATGCCACGGTTTGGTCGCTGCCCTCGACGAGAGGCTCTGGCCTAGAAGGATTCGTAATTAGCTTGTGATTTTAAGCTTAGATTTTTTTATATTTACAGGTAAGACATTTCGGTGGTGGTAGGTTCTAGGAGACTCTCAATGATCGGCACTCCCTCAAGGTGGTCCGTGAGAGTATAGATTTCCGGTTGCCATTCAATGGTTGCTGCATGCACTTTCTCGTAATTGTTTCCATCGCAAAATATTAGTTTCGGCTTGGTTATTGAGAGCACGTACTTAAGGGTTGCTGAAATCAAATATTAATACCTGGAATCATGTTTTATATAATCAACGTTATAGACCTTCATCCAGAACTGAATGGGGTGCATGGAAGGGAGTTCCATTCATCAGGCAAGCCACTCCCAAGGACAGCAAATACTTTGAGTTGCCAGCTGCTATCCCTATGATATCCTTGTGGGTTAGGCCTCGGGTCTTAAAGAATTGTGCAATCCGAATGGCCCAGGTGAGTGCCTGTTCAAAGGTCACTACCACGCCATCATCATCCCATATCTAAAATGGAATTGGTAAGTCAAATAATTACTCTTCTATGCCTCATTTACCTCACCTGACATATGTTCTTGGGCCAATTCTTCATGGACTGGAATATGACGGCACCCAAGGCAGCATCATCCTTGTAAATGGAGCTTCGTAGAGGTCCGCTCCAGATCCGTTCCTCCTCGTTGTATGTTACCTGAGGTTGTTCCATTAGTGATATGAGAGGTCTGCACAAAAAGCGGCTATTTATATAGGACCCTATCGGTGGTAAACAGCTATATCAGCTAACCTAAATTGATTTGATAAGATGTGGCAAATTCTGATAAAATTCGATTAGCACTTTAACTTTCTATCTTTATCACAAGTCTGTTGACAAGTTGACTATTTGACGTCTTTTTTTTAATAGCTTTGTATATATCTACTTATAGGTAAGGTTTATTCTTAGGTTCATAGTTACTAATCAATAAATTAAATTGAATTAATAGTCAAAAGAAGAAAAAAAGTACATTTATTTAAGACAATTGGTTTATTTTAGTTTGTGATCATGTTAAAATTTATCATTAGACAAATCTCCAAGTGCGTTAAATAAATCACGCGCCTCCTTTCGCATAATTTTTCCATTTGCATTGAGGGGTAGTTTGTTGGTGAATTTCACCCCAGCATGGAGCTGCCTTCGCAGCTCAGGTAATCGCTTAGCCACATGATTCACAATCTCCTTGGCACTTATGTTGGTTTCGTTGCTCCTGACCACAAGGGCACCGGCCTTGTCACCCACCTCCTCGTCGAAGATACCCACAACGCACACGTTCTCAACCTGCGGGAGCTCCAATATAACCTTTTCGATCTCCGCTGGCCAGTAAGGACGTTGTTGGTACTTGAGGATCTCCTTCTTGCGATCCACCACAAAGAGAAAGTTTTGCTCGTCAAAGTATCCGAGATCGCCGGTGTGGAACCAGCCATCGGGGTCCTGCATACGGCGTGACTCCTCGGAATTTCCATAGTATCCTTTCCAGCCCAGGCCCGAATGCACATATATCTCTCCAATCTGATTGTGTCCCTGGCTCACACCCTGCTCGTCCACAATGCGTATTCTATAACCTGGAACGGGCCGGCCTACCGTGCCTCCATGGGTCAGTCCTCCGGCCCTGCATATGGTCCCCGTCTCACTCATCGCATACGTATTGCTAACAGTTCCATTTTCACAGAGCTTCTGGCACCTTTGAAGAATGGCCGTGGATGCCACTCCTCCACCGCAGATTAAAAGGCGAATGGAGCCTAAAGACCTTGACGTGGCCATGGGACAATTGACCAGATCATAGACATGACTGGGAGGTAGACCGATTACATTGATCTTGTAATTTTCAACGAGATGCACCAGATATTCGGCGGAGAAGGGCTTCCGGCTGATGATGCGGGTGCAGTTCAGTGCTGTGCTATTGACAAGCCCCCAAAGACCAGAGATCCAGCTGAGAGTGCCCCAAGTGAAGATAACTGAGCCGCTGCTCACACCTTGTAAAGGCATAAGCCGACTGTTGGAGATGCAGACAGCCTTGGGGAGGGCAGTTGTGCCCGAGGAGCACAGCATGGCCACGGTTTGATCGCCTCCTTCCCTCAAGGGCTCCGGCCTAAAAGGGTCTTATTTTTGTTAGCGTGAAGATCATTGATCATTATAAATTTACTTACTGGTAAGACCCTTCCGACGTTGTAGGATCCAAGAGAGTTTTAATGCTCGGCACTCCCTCCACATGATCTCTTAGTATATAGATCTCTGGCTGCCACTCGATTGTTGCCTTATATATTTTCTCGTATGCATTTCCATCGCAGAATATTAACAATGGCTTTGTAAGGGACAATATGTGGCAGATAAGGGCTGCAATTTAAGGGAGTAAGTGTATCAAGGAAGCCTCCAAGTGTTGGCTGTTACAAACCCTCGTTCCACATTGGATTGACTGTGTGAAAAGGAGTTCCATTCATTAGGCAGGCTACTCCTAGGGGCATCAAGAGTGTGGAGTTTTCGGCCAGAATACCAATCACATCATTATGTCCAAGACCTTTCTTCTTGAAGAACTGGGCCATTCGTATGGCCCAGGTTAGAGCTTGATCGAATGTAACACTCACACCGTCTACGTCGCATATCTAAAGGTATATCTCTAAGATATCAAATAGGTTCAACTCCCAACCCCTTTACTCACCTGACAAATGTTATTCGGCGAAGCTCTCATGTTCTGGAAAATAATTTCACCTAGAGAAGTCTCATCCTTTGACATTGTCTTCCTATGAGGGCCACTCCAAATCTTTTCCTTTTCGTCAAAACTCACGGGAGTTTGTGCCATTTTTTTTTCTATTGGATGAAGCGACTGGTCTTCTTAGGGGAAGTTTATCAACTGACGAAAATAAGATATTTTCTTGAGGAAGAGAAGGCCACTTGGGGTGCCATAAAGCTTTAATTGTAACCATCTTTTCTTATCAAGAATATAACAAAAGCCTTATGCTCCATATCACTAGTCTTTTATCTTAAGCTTTTGACATAATTTTAGTGATTATATAGGAAAAGTTACTACCCAAAATTAAGAGAGTATAAAATTATAGTGCCATTTTTATTGATATATTATATTTTTCGTTAGAAATGTGTATATTTATAATTTACCACTCACATTTTATCTGACTTGTTATTGTTATTATCTTGACTCCGATTCTCTCATGAAGAATATACCACATTAGAAGGTGCTCTCGAGGATTTCATTCAGCTTTTAAGGTATTAAAAATCTGGAGAGCTGCCTTGCGCACAACTTTTCCATTGGCATTTGCAGGCAATTCGTTGGTAAACTGTACTCCTGCATGGAGTTGCTTGTGCATTGCAGGTAAGTTTATAGCCACATGTTCCACTATCTCGGAAGCACTAATGGTTGATCCCTTTTTCAGGACAACCAGGGCTCCTGCAGCATCGTAATCCACTTCGTTGCGGACGCCTACTACGCACACATCCTGCACTTGAGGGAGCTTCATAATAACGCCTTCTATCTCACCCGGCCAGTAGTGAAAGTGCTGGTACTTGAGGATGTCCTTGCAGCGGTCGACTATGATTAGGCAATTCTGTTCATTAATGTAGCCCAGATCCCCGCTGTGGATCCAGCCCTCGGAGTCCTGAGCCTGCTGTGATGCTTCGGGGTTCTTGTAGTATCCCTTCCAAGTCATACCATTGTGGACACATATCTCACCCAATTGGTTGTACGTTAGATTTTCACCATTCTCGCCTACAATGCGAATCCTGACACCCGAAGTTGGTCCTCCCAAAGAGTTAGCTATTTCAAGGCCAATGCTTTCTGTTAAGAATCCGGACTCAGAAGTGCCATATGAATTTATCATTGTCGCATTCACACAGAGTTCCTGGCATCGTTGTAGCGTGGTCTGTGAAATAATTCCTCCACCGCACTATGGTCCAGAATCCGTTTTTTTTGGCATAAAGTCGATTTTTTTATGTTAATATATCGTTGTTTTCTTATTTTAATCTTAAAGTAAATTCATCATACGTTATAAAAATGTTAACTAAAAGCTTTAAATGTGCCACCAAAGCCTATTGAGAGCTTTTAAAAATGCGATTGCGATCAGCTCATTTCCGAATAGAAATTCGCGCCAAAATATTTAGTTACTTTATGTTGTGTCAGACGTGTTATTTTGGTTCAAAAAAATCAACTAAAATATGGAAAATAATCTTCAAGGTATGCACTATTTAATGTATATTGTAATTTTTTGTGTAGTTCTACGTATTTAGTGTTGTGTAATGTCAAATTTATGTGTATGTTTTTAGAAAACTATCATGCGTTCTCCATGTTTCGTGGAGTATAACTAATAAGCTTCTCCATGCTGACAGCAACTAATTGGTCCAGATTGTACTCCTGGATGTTGTCTTTACCCACAAACAAAAAACTCATCCCCGTTCGTCCCCCTTTTCTAATATTTTGGTAATATACACAGCGAACTTTTTAAATTATGGAGCAGCAACAATCGAAAAATTCTATCTGTATCGAAGTGACTATGCACCAAAATTAATAAAGACACTGTGAAATCCAAGAAAATGAAGGAAATAGATTAAAAATGCAGTAATTTTTATAGTGATATTCATAAATATCTTCCCAAATGTAAATACGTTCTTGAACGGTTAATTTCTTCCAATAATTCTAATTATAAATTCGGAAAAATATCTCTCTTTTTTTTTAACCACTTTTTCATTATATATGCGTTAATTATGTATATAATAAATGGTAATTATGTACATATATAAAAATTATAAATTAAATATCAATCAGTTTGCAAGGGCGGCAAGAGTGGGCGTGGTCGTACTGGCCCAATTTTTTGTACACAAGTTGTTAATGCCACAACAATAAAATCTGCGAAGTTTAAACCCTGTAGCTCCATTTTTCTACTTTATGCCAAAAAAAACGGATTCTGGACCATAGTGCACCGTACAAAAAAATGCGTAGAGAGGACAAGGACTCCTTCGTGGCCTCTGGACAATTAACCAGAGCAGATAAAGGACATGGCGGCTGGCATATGAACTCTACTTTGTACTTCCTCACAAGATGCACAATATATTCCGGAGTTAACTGATTTCTGCTCAGAATGCGAGTGTAACCTAGCACTGTGTTGAGCACAAGCATTGCCACCCCCGAGAGCCAGTCCAGGGCGGTCGGAAAGAGTACAATAGTTTCGCTATTGATAGATGAACTCAGGGGTTTCATTAACATTCGGTTCGAAATGCACACCACCTTTGGCAGTCCAGTGGTTCCGGAGGAGCAGAGCAATGCCACGGTTTGTTCGCTGCCCTCGACGAGAGGCTCTGGCCTAGAAGGATTCGTAATTAGCTTGTGATTTTAAGCTTAGATTTTTTAATATTTATAGGTAAGACATTTCGGTCGTGGTAGGTTTTAGGATACTTTCTATGCTTGGCGCTCCCTCAAGGTGGTCCGTGAGAGTATAGATTTCTGGTTGCCATTCGATCGTTGCTGCCTGTATTTTCTCATAGACATTGCCATCGCAAAATATCAGGTTTGGCTTGGTTATTGAGAACATTTGCGTTATAGTTGCTGGAATCAGAATCAGTATTAATGATACTTTGTACCGAATTGAATAGGAACGAGGGAGTACTTACCTTCGTCCAACACTGAATGTGGGGAGTGGAATGGAAATAAGCCAATCGCAAAGGGTACAAGAATTTTGAGTGTCGTACTGCTATCCCTATGATATCCTTATGGTTTAGGCCTCGTTTCCTGAAGAATTGAGCAATCCGAATGGCCCAGGTGAGTTCCTGTTCAAAGGTCACTACCAGCCCGTCGTCATCCCATATCTGAAATGAAATTAATGAGTTAAACACTTACTCTTTTATGTCTCCTTTACCTCACTTGACATATGTTCTTGGGCCAGTTTTTCATGGAATGGAATATGATGGCCCCCAAAGAAGCATCATCATTGTAAAAGGAGCTTTGTGGAGGTCAGCTCCAGATGCGTTCCGCCTCACTGTACGTTACGTGAGTTTGCGCCATCGAGATATCAGGTGCCTTTTCCTAAATGCAGTATTTTTATATAGCGGAGAAAGCTTGACTTTGAATAATCACTCAGGATTAGGAGATGAGATTAGGATATCCTCAATTTTCAGGTGTGCATTGAGTTATCAACTGAGACCGTTGCCAGAAATGTGTCTTATTATTATGATAAGATACACAAAATAAGGAAAATAAATCTAAGAATTTAAGACTTTAAAACCAAAATAAGCATCATCCTCGCGTTGTTAGCAACACGATTTTTTTTTATTATTAAGATTATAAAAGTGTTTTGGTTCTCCCTGAGTTACCATTAGATAAGATAGCATCTTATTTCTTTTCACTTTAAGACTATTTATATAGTTTATTATTGCTTTAAGCACTATTACTCTAGGGAGCAAGTCTTCTAACTAGCAGAGAATACTTATGTACTTGTGGAGCTTCATTTAATACAATAAAAAAGGTATGCATATGAGCTTTTTATTGCTTGTAACAGTTATTTAATCTCAGCGAAAACCCTTCTAATCACCCACTATTAATTTTATATTTTAAAAGCTACCTAAACTTCATAAACCTTTTTTTTATTTTGTTTATTTAGCAGCTGTGTTTGTGGACACACAAAAGTCGTGCGCCACTTTACGCAAGGTTTTGCTCGGTAATTAAAGTTAGGTTGCTGTTGGATAATAAATTCAAGTATTATTTAGTGATTAATATTATTATAAATTAATTATAAAATTTAAGGAAGTATATTTAATTAATAAATAATATAAAGCAGCTTTTTAAATGGGTACTTTTATACATTTACTTGTGCCTAATAAAAGGTTTTAAAATATTTGTATTGAATGATAAATATTAAAATTTTGCTAATTTCCTTAAATTTTTAAATAAAGTAACAATGCAATTTAATTTAGCTTTTTTATTCTTAAAGAAGTAATAACATGAAAAACCTAGATTCTTTAAAGTATTTTTCTTTTTAGTGTCATATCTCTTGTGATTTTTCTCATATAAGTTTTATATTTTCCCCTATTAGAAATTAATTATTTTTGTAGTTCCATTCGAATTGGTCTTTCCACCACTGCCACAGGGAAGTGCCGTGTCGTAAGCTAAACCCTTGCAGAGGCTGAGGTGTACCTTGCGATAGACTGAAAATGGAGTTTAAAGGGTTAAACTAGACATAAAGTAAAATATTATAAAAAGTTTAAAGAATATTCCATAAAGTTGATATGATAAACAAGAAAATATTCCTTAACATTATATCTTAAAGGTAATAATCAACTTACATTTCGAGGACATATTGTTGTTGCCACAATTGGCCAGCTTGCGTTGGCAGTCATTATGGAAGGCCTGGCAGATGTTGGCCCTTCCCAGGCGCGCGCAAGTCTTCGTCGAGGAGGTGCAGCTCTTCTGGACATTTCGTCGGCACTTGGAACTGCGTTTAGAACTTTTTTTAGATCGGATCAGAGAATCAGTATCTGGAATGCCGAACCCGTCGTCATCCGTGTTCTGGGAAACAGTCAGGGCGAAGATCGCCACCAGGAGGAGGACACAGGCGAACAATTGAGCTTTCATCGTTTTCCAAACTGCGGTGTCTTATGATGTTCGTTCTACGCCTTTTATGGCTTTTATACCACAACATTCATATTTGTTTTGCAAAAACGGAAAACAAATTGTTCCACTTTAACACTAGTATATTGTGTGATCCATCAGCTGTGCCAACAAAGATTTATAATTTGCCTTAGATTTTTTTTTGGGTGCTTAGCCTTGAGCAGAGTGTACATATCTTTCATTAGGTTTTTTTATTTATTTTTTATCAACAGAGAATAGCAATAGCTTAGTGTTTTGGAGGGAAGGATTAAATCTATAATATAATGGATACAATAATGATATTTGTTTTAAAATATTGAGCAAAAAACAAATAATTAATTGAAGGTTATATAGATAATATTATTTGAACTTCAAATGGGTTGTCCTCGACATTTTTAACTAATAGTTTTTCGATTTGAGAAAGTTAAAATGGCACTTAAAGTGAGCATGTAACTTTAATTTAAAATTTTTATTTTTAATAAAATTTGTAATTTTATTCTTTACACAATTTTTAAGTTCTCAACAATTTTGAATCACAAAACATTAAACAATTAACCGCGACGAATAATAATGGGTACAACGTTGGAGCTGGATGATGATGAGCTAGTAGATCCGCATCTTCCCCGATTTCCCACAGTGATTCCCGAGCACTGGGACAGACTGGTGGTGGTATAGGCGGTGGTGCTAACACAGTTAGCGTAACGCAAGGCGCAGCTGTTCCTGAAACGATTGCACAGATTCGAGCTGCCAAAGCGGGCACAGGTATTAACCGTGGAGTTCCAGTTGCAACCCTGAATGAGGCAGATCCTGGGCGTGGAGCTACTGGAACTGCTGCTGGAGAAGAAGCCGCAGGCCATGGATAGGATGACCAGGAGTGCTGACAGACGGAGAGCGTTTTTCATTTTGCTTTGAAGTTTAATAGGTTTTACTGATATCTTGCCTCGGCTACCGGAACTTTTTATAGCGGCTCGACTTGGGAGACTCGACCTTAGAAAAAAGTTCTAAAGGTTCTAGCACCTGTGCAAACTTTAAAGAGATAAAGTGAGAGTTTCTTTTTTTTTTTTTTGAATTTTTGCTAATTTGGCATTGGCAGATTAAACGTCAATAATCCAATGTCACATACAAAATTTCACCATTAATAAGTTGGTTTATATGGAATACATATATACATATGTATATACAAGAACTATTAAGGTATAATGTAGTATTAATAATTTAATATTATACAAGTAAGCTGAACTTAACATAAAAGTAGTGGCCTTGGTTTTGAAAATAAACAAAGTTAATATTTTTTCATTGCATAATAATATATATTTAGACTATATTTATATTCCTCAAATTTCAGAAACCTATACACTTCATTTTATATATTTATATTCCTCTTTTTAACTTTGTTTCAGAAGCTGACACTGTTCAACTGGTCGTATACGTAATGTATGATTTCTTTAGCTTTACATGTATGTAAAAATCAAGTATACGTATTTTTTACACAAGGTATTATTTATATGTATAAGATACTTACCTAAAAAAAACAGTCAAAAAGTATGCAATACATAAATGAAAAAATATAATTAACATTTTTTAAACTTTTAAGAAACTGTATAAAAATGAAAAGGTTTATCTGTAATCATAGATTAATTTTTAAATACATTTAAAAATGTTATTTAAGTAAATTTAATATAACAAATTCTTTTAGTTATCTAAAAATTACACAAACTCATCACTTTTAGATAAACTAATATTTAATTTCCCACCACTTTAGACCCAAACATGATCAGGCTCAGTCAAGCTGCCAATTACCGGCAATTAAACTTCTTACTAGTGAAAACAAAGCTCTGGCAAAGTGCGTAATCCCATCTCATTTTTTTTATAACCCAGCTGCTACAGCAAAAGCCAATTGAAAATCAGTCTAAATAAATAAACCAAAGCAATCAGCTCATGTGCACTTGGCTGGCTGTTTGCAGTTGAGTGTTTTGCTTTTTGTTTGCTTAAATATTCCATAAACGCACTTTTATTAAATGCCTGTCGACGGCATTGTTAAGTGTTTTTTCTGGTCAAGGCTGAAAATCAGTTTCGTTAATTGGCTTTGGTTTCGATTTTTATAGAAGAGAGCACTTGAAGCAGGCAGGTAACTTCTGTGCTTTTTTCTTGAAGCTAAAGAGCAATCAGTGGAGTATTTATGCAAAGAAAACCATTTACGCTAAGGCAATTTCCTAGCCATGGTAATAATGCAAATTTATGCATTATTTTTTTGTTCGAACAATTTGGTATGTGCGTGTCCACGCGGTGTTTACAATTTTGGCCGCCGACGGCTCTGGGCCAAGTCAAGCAACGATTTAGGCCAGCAATTAGCTGCCCATTGAATCGATAACATGTCTAAGTCATCATATCGCACAATTCTGCCTGCCTGCCCAACCATGTCAGCTGGATATAATGTGCTCTTGCGGCTGGTGAAAAGTTTGCAACACTTTCTATTGATTTGAAGTGACTTTTGCCGCCTCTAAATGGTGTCTCAAATGGACCGTAATTGATCCAGTAAAAGTGACTTGAATTAATAGCTCTATTCTTGATTGCCTGTCATCTTTCATAATAATTACAAACGGTTAATTTTAATGTATACAAATAGCTCACTGATAGTACTTTAATTATGCTATGCCATATCTTAAATTGATCAGAGATACATCTTGATTTATATTACTTATTAAACTGCATTTCCCCTTGATTTTGTCGGGCATATTTAATGAACTTGCTGTGCTTGCTTGCACATTAATCAATTTGTCAGACTCAATTAAGCTGTAGACTCTAAACAAAAGCTCAAATTATGTAACACGGAATCGGATCAAATTAATCAGCCGTTCATTCAGCCATTGGCAGTGAAAATTGATGAGCCAAAACTTAAATAAAAACAAAACTAACAGAAAAACTGAAAAACTCATATGTATCTGAGAGATACAAAGAGAGACACTGAGTGGCAAAGAGCGGAGTTGCGGCCACGAAGATGATGCCACCACTTGAAGTTGCACCAACGGGTTCGGTTTTTGCCTTTTGTCGCATTGCAGGAAGTCGCAACTTGTCAGCGGGTTGGCCGCATTTGGCATTGGTCACTACCAGGGGATTGATGACGGAGTTTTGAGAGGGTATTAATGGGGTATATGGATTATAGGGATGGAATATAAGGATGTTTATGGAAAGAAAAAGACGTTGTAATAAATTGACAAACTTATCACAGTTAATTTTATATCGGAAACAATACTATGTATTAATATATAAAATATCGATTATAATTGTCATAATTTTTATATATAAAAATCCGAATTTATCGTTAAAATATCGATATTATTGAATTTATCGTTTAAATATCGATAATATAGAATTTATCGCTTAAATATCGATTATATCAAATGCAAAATTTTATCGAATTTATTTGCCACAATTTTGTATTCTTTTTTCTTAGATATATCAAACAGAAAACTGATTAATCGAACATTAAAGTATCGATTTATTATTTATCATCTTTTCAAAATTTTCTTTATTTTCGAACATACAAATATTTCTATAATTTAAATAAATTAATGATTTAAATATTCAGTGATTTAAATATCCATTAAGAACAGCCTTTTTTAACAACTTTTCTCCAGGGTATCCATTAAACCCCCTCCAAAACTATAGTCCCGCCTTAAAGAGATCTTTATTTGATTGCTGGCAATCAAAATTATTTAATTTAGATGCGGCAAATGCATTTGCGATTCGCGTGATGCTGCCAATGCGGCAATCCGGCAATCCAACTGGACTGCGCCCCCGTTTAACAGCAAAAAAAAAAAAAGAGAAAAAAACAGTAAAAATAAGAGCCAATGTATTAACAATAACAACAAACTTTCACTTTTGGCTCGCTCTTTTTTTTTCTGGCTGTTCGCTCGATTTTAGCCGTTTTGGGCAGGTCAGTTTCGAACGCTTTAGACCCGGTTAGCTGCAGTCTCGCCGCCTGCGATGTGTAACAAACACACTCACCGAGCGTTGTCCACCTCAACACGCTCTGTCTACTTTTTCTGCTCGGCAGGCTCAGGGAAAATGGGCGTGGGTTTTGTGTTGACATGAACAAGGGTGCTACATAACTAATATTGTAGACAGAGATACTCTAGCTGGGGATATGGTAAATAATATGAATCAGACGAAGGAAGTGTACCTATTGAAGATGAGGCTCCGATGTTATTGGCCTCAATCTAAACCCTCCCAACCTGTGAAGTCCATTCAGGCTCCACCCTTATACAACCAATGCTCTACATCCCCTTAGGTGCCCAACAAGATATCAAATTAGTTCATTTTCAAAGTCATATAATTGCAGGCTGAGATAATATTGAAAGACATTTTCCTAAATCTAATCCTTAAGCCTAAGTTTACGTTATTTACGTTACGAGACCTCTTATTGAGCCAGTTTGTTTTAGATCCAATGAAAGGAAATAAAATTTAAGATAAGAAAGAACGCTTTTTCCTTTTTTACTTTACATTAAATAGATTAACTTATTAATATTCTTTTGAATCAATTAATTAATTAAGATGTGCAAACTATTTCAGAAGTCTTGGCGAAATTATAAGTATGGGTTCAGTTTTATTTTGTTGATTTGCGGCTAGGCCGTACTCACGCTTTCTCCATCGACGTCAGCAGGCCTGATGACTGGTGATGTGTAGCTGTATGTGTTTTAAGTTATTTGAGGGACAAAACGATATTATAATTGCCAAATCTCCCAAAAAAATTGCTAAATTACGACCGAAAAGGTTTATAAGTACGAATTCTTAAATCAAAAGCTCCTATATGCAAAATTAATTATATTTTAGACACTATCATTCATGTTTATCCGCTCCTGGAGCAGAGTGTGGGCCGGATCAGCCACCAGCTCTCAATACGGATATGTAATGCTACTTCCGTCGTTCGCGCTGATGAAGATGACACGCACTATGTGCGACAGGGATGGCCGCAATCCCTTGCGTGAGGCGTGAGCGGAACGAGACCAGCCCGCCAAGGTGTGGATGCGGCAGAGCGCACGCGATGTGGCAAAGATGCACGGCGATGTGGCAAAGATGCACGGCGATGTGGCAAAGAACGATGTGGCCACGAAAAAGACACACGGCGATCCAATAGGTGCGCCGAAGAAAAGCACGGTGATCCAATATGTGCACCGTGTGAGGGAACGGCGATCCAATATGCGCGCCGTGTGAGGGAACGGTGACACGTTAGCGAGGCGGTAAAGAAAATCCAAATCGAGGATCACCGCAATCGGCACGTGTATGGCCGCCGAAATGGGAAGCGCAGCCCCACGCTGTGCGTGCGAATGCTCCGATGACACGTGGCGTTGATCCCGCTGAGAAGCCACAGACAATGCCAACGATGAATGCCACAAATGACTGCCACCTCACGTGGTGGGCAATTGCTGGCAAAAACAATGCCGGTCGCTTGGACGACTCTGCCGATACGGCTGACGCAATATACGTTAGAGCACTAAATTTACTTAATATGGGTATGATTCGCTTTAACAAATACTGTCGGATCGACACGATGCTTGCGGATTTAGGATCGACAAAAATTAATCCGAACTCGGGGACGCCTTGTGAGAAAGAGAACGGAAGTGAGGGGATCCAATGTGACCGTGGCTTGCAAAAATCCTGTTCGCGAATTTTTGTGGTCTTTTTTTAGGTCCTATCGCATATTAGCGATTTGGCAGGATCGTAACTTTAACAGCCCGGTTGTTTGAAAAATGTGGGCGATAAAACTTATCGAGTTGCCACACTGGCTCGATTCCCACAACCACAGCTTTGATTTTTAGTCCCTGTGATTAACAATAAAAGCTGAAAAAGGAATCAAGAGCAATCACCAGATATCCTTGGCATGAAATCTACCCAGTTCCTTTCCGTTCATGTCCTCTAAGAGGTAAATTGACTGTCCAATTCTTGCCTTCACTCGGGCCTTGATACCTACAGGAGCGAGTTTCGCATTAAAATCCTTTGCTGCGTTGCTAAGTACAAAATTCCTTTTGACTACTTCTTGGCCAACCTCAAAAGAACGGGGTCTTGTTCGAAGATT